CAAGAACGATATTTTCGGTCAATCAAGATGATTGTAGAATCAAACATACTACTATAAGGCAACGATTGTACACCATTCAAATTTATTATCGGAAGTTAATTTCATACTACGCAACACCCTGGCAACAATGCCAACCGTGATCTCTGACCCCGCATTAACTATGATTACGTTTTTTGCGCAACAACTTGTTACTCTTCCCATACTAGACTAGAAGTTAAAGAAACACAAATTTCCTATTCGAATAGTACCTAAAAGTTCCTTTTTTATGCAAAATAAAATTATTATTATGTGGTGTTACCAACTTAGGGATTTTCCCCCTAAATTTAGGGGGAATATAAGTGGGGTGGGTTTTTAATGTACCGCTATTATTTATCGACAATTTCTTAAACCCAATTATTTTATGACACCGCCTCCTGAATAGCTGTTGATGAAACTATCCTTATCATTTCAAAAATGGTTCTCTGTTCTTCCTGATGGTCCCTCTAGGGAAGACATCAGTACTACAGAAATCTTGATGTCAGTTACAGTCCGAAAGGAAATTTATTATCTGTATGTTTAGAGCGTCCAGCTTCAGGACAGCAGTCTCGCAATTTGTAATAAGTAATGAAAAGGCATTCGCAGTAATTATTGTGCTAAGTTTCTTACCGGTACGTCAACCAGCCATCACGGGCCCAACGGTAGATACGGCTCAATGCGTCTTCCTACATCATTCATATGCATAGGGTAACTAATTACTGCGGCGAGCACGCTGTGAATACTTAACCCAAGAATTGAGGTAATTGTCCCACAGCCGCGCCGGCGGGGAAGCGGCTAACTATCGGCTATTTTCTAGCTCAACAAACGTACAATAGATATATATTCCATGTAAACAAAAGTGACGCATATATTAATAGTTGATCGCTGTCTGTACACACTGCTGGCGAGTAATCTCTCCATTAATTTGTCGCTGAGCTATTACAATTAATACTCAAGAAGCGAGCAACGACGATTTGTAGCGTGTGGCGGCCACCGGCGTACCGTGTGTAGCGAGTCCATATAAAATGTATGAAAACTACAAGAAATATGCCGGTGGCGGCGTTTTGTGGTTGTGGCCCGTGGCCCATGTGCGGCGACACTTAGTAAGTACAGCTTCATTATGCCATACTTTGTGATGTAAAAGTGATGGTCAAATCAAATCTCATAACAAAATGTACGAGATTGTCCCAAAAACCTAGACGTTCTTCTATTTACAGCTGCAAAGCCATTTGTTTAATATTCAAACGCTTCGATCATTATAACAGCAATCCAGTCGATATTCGGCAAGAGGAAAAACGTTTCTAAAGCACAGAATGCCAGTTGATCGGTGACAGTAAACTGAACGCCCAATATATCGACATGCAAATGACAAATAATCGATAGATCAATAACTCGTCATGCCAGTAGATCAAAAGCTAATGTATCGATGTTGTTTAAGATCGACTGCCGAATGCATCTGTTTTCTGATCAAAAATCTTATTGTAACGAAGGTACAGTCCGTGTTTTTCGTCCGGCACATTGCTCGGTGGAAATATTGGCGGCAGTATGGATATAATAACATTATAATTGGACGTTTTATGAGATAATATTTTTCCAGATACATAATTGGTTTTAAAGTAAATCATCACTTGTAATGTGTCTCTTAGCAAAATAAGATCCGTGTAAGCATTGAAATTTCAATTTAATATCACAGCGATCTATTTATTGAATATCGATTTACAAAAAAATCAACTTAATGTCACAACGTTCTATTGAAAACCAATTTATTGAAATTTTGATCAAATAGCAAATCGATAAATCGGGATTTCGGTTAATTGTCACCGATCAACTGACATTCGATATACATACTTGGCATTCGTTGAAAACCCGTCCGGCTAGAACCGTGACCAGTGGCTGCAACGACCAAATTAACTATAGTTGGTCGTTGCGGCCAAGTGCGTGACGTTCGTATAGTTTCTTTACGACCACTGGCCGTGGTCGTGGTCATCTAACGCACGAGGTGCCTAAGGAGTTTCGCTTGCGGCTCCATAATTACATGTAACGTTTTTTTTGCGCAGTGCCTCATAGGAATTATTTCTTTCGGCATTAGATAAATAGTCAACAACTATGTACACCTTTTAAGAATTATCAGTTATCTCTTATTATATGCGTATAACTAGCGGCCGCCCGCGACTTCGTCCGCGTTAACTTAGTTTTTTTTTCTAAAATAAAAGTAACCTAAGTTACTCCTTATTACATCAGCCACCTGCCAATAAAAGTCCCGTCAAAATCGGTCCAGCCATTTCAGAGATTAGCCGGAACAAACAGACAGACAGACAAAAATGGTAAAAAATGATATTTTGGTGTATGTACCGTATATATTCATATGCATGTAGTAAAAAGCGGTTATTTCAATATTACAAACAGACACTCAAATTTTATTTATATGTATAGATGATGACGTCCGTGGAAGGTTTCAAGGTGCCGCCTATTCGGGAGCTCTAATTTAGAATCACTCGCCTGACATAGTATGGTCGAATACGACTTAGTCACTTTCGACTTCCAAGTCGCATGATACTGATTTTTCGTATTTTTGAATCGTTTATCTACAGTGTTACCAGTTTGATACAAAATATTTATTATTAATACTTTTAATTTTGTTAGAAATGATCAAAACGTCGCAACAAATCGTCATTTATCTATATTTTAAAGATTGAGAAAAAATCTTGAAAATATCTATATCGTAAACTTGACAATTATTTTACCATTCGCCTCCATCATTCGCCAACGCGCAACGTGTGGCCGAGAGCGCTCGTTGACGTCGAGCGATTCAAAAATACGGAATTTATTATGTCGCATCAAAATTAGTATAAATCGAGCGATCGACGCAAGGCTAGTGATTGAAAAATAGAGCTCCAGAAGTTCGGAATCCCGGTTGTTCGTTTATCATCGGGTTTACCTCATGACATGAACCGTAATACAATAACTCCTCTCCTCTCTCTCTACTTATCTCAAATCCTTTGATGACGCGTTTGACGGTGAGAATGTGTTTTAAACTTTCATGGTCACTAACATTATAGTAATTTATATTATTTACGGGAACCCTCTAAAAACAAGGTACATGTATGGTAACAATCTCGTAAATAACAAAAATTACTTTAAGGTGAGAATGTGATTTGTATTGAACTTTACTGTCAAGATTTAACAACAATTAGTCACCTAGGTACCTTTATTTAATTAGATGTCCCAAAATAGACAAATTGGCTTGCAGAATAATTCTTCTTCTCACTATTTTCCCAATTATGTTAAAGAACTTTTCAGTTTTCTCCCCTGTTCCCATTTTGTTTTTACGCTCATCAGAGAATTTGAGCCTTAACTCCATCACATAATACCACCCTTTATAAATATTCTTTTTGTGTTAAAACTGTGCGCCTCTGGAACTCTCTCCCCGCTAATATCCGAAGTGCCGAGAAGATTGGTTTATTTAAGAAGCAGATAAAAGATTTCTTCCTTTCACAGTAGTTGTTTGTGTTGTTCCAACTGTATGTATGTACCTATGTATGTGTATGTCTCTCTACTCATTCATTTAATATTTGTTTACTTCAATACATAGTAGATATTTATGAGTATGTTTAATCGTGCATCTTTTATTGTAATTATTTTTATTTTTTTATATTAGCACACCCCCTCTTTTATTCAATTTCGTCTCTCCATCCTATGGTTGTCTAGTAGAAATTGCTATGTAGTGATTTTGTCCTAGTGTGTAATATCTAACGTGGTGTGCACAATGAAGTGTTATCTATCTATATATTTTTATGAGTTCCTTTCTTCTGTTCCACGCCGCTGAAGTACAACACTTAACAAACATCTCGATACTGCGAACTGGCACGGACGGTTCAAAGTGTTTAATCTTTAGCCCGTAACTAAGTGCTATGTAATAATGTTAAAGCTTGTAACAGTTTTTTGCATCTTTCTCAATCACGTCTGCTATTGTCGCTTCTTGGTAGCAACTGCGAAGTGACGTCACACAATGGCGTCCGCCTTATTTTAACCTTGAATGTACCATAAAATACCTATTATAGAGAAGTCGTTGGCTTAAAATATTTTGGGAAAGACCTAAAATGGCCACCTCTAAACATTAGTGAACCATTTGAATAATTTTTTTGCATTTAATTGTAGCTTTTATCCACATAAAGATTCCGTGATCACTACAAATGGGGAAATTACTCTAAGAAATTACTTGATGGCATGCAAGTTTGGTGAAATAAAGATCTGTTCTCATTTTCAAACTTGCAAAGATCGAATCTGTGTTTACGTTGAGATTACATTTTTGCTTCGTTCAACAAATTATTGATCAAAGACACGAACGAGATCAAAGCATATTTGCTTCCGATTTCATCAAATATTATGTAAAATCTAATCATCATAACAATATTGTTTATTTCTCATCTCAGGCATCCTGTTTACAACTTAGCTTCGCCAACAATCTCCTCTAAATATAGCATACTAAGTATAGACAGTTTGTCGAACAGTATCCAAATATACTTTTTTATTGTGTTTTGTGTATTTTGTGAGGAGCTCGATGGCGCAGGTGGCTAACGCGTTCGGCTGCGATCGTTGAAGTTAAGCAACTTTCGCAGTGGTCGGTCATTGGATGGGTGACCAAAAAATTTACTATCTCGAGCTCCTCCATGCTTCGGAAGGCACGTTAAGCCGTTGGTCCAGGCTGCATTTGCAGTCGTTAGCACCCACCAATCCGCACTGGGCCCGCGTGGTGGGTCATGGCCCAATCTCCCTATTCCATCCATAGGGAAGGCCTGTGCCCCAGCAGTGGGGACATTAATAGGCTGATGATGATGATGTGTATTTCAAAGTACAACAGAACTTGCCTTTTCTTTAATGAATACAAAGTTTTCCAAGTCTATCTATATATATATATATATTATATTAAAATAAATATAATATATATATATAAATAAATTTGGCATGCAGGTAGATGTTATGACGTAGGCATCCGCTAAGGAAGGATTTTGATCAATTCTACCCCGAAGCGAAGCAAGGGCGGGCCACTAGTCAATACTCAAGAGGCGGTCATTTGTATTTATTGAGTGACAATATTCCAATTTCTCATGAGCTTCAAATTCCAAGGGTTCACAGGATATTCAAAAGTCTATTAGATCAACTGAAGATGTCTGACTTCGCAAAAATGTTATCGTCATACATAACATCCATTAAAATCAGGTTAAACATAGGCAGAAACTTCTAAAAAACAAAATAGGTACTACTAATGTGGTCCTTTAAAAAAATCATATGAGCGCCCCACACGTGGTTCCATTGTTCGACAATTCGACATGTGTGACAATGTAGAGGAAATTCCAAAGTAAATACGCAAAAGCGACCGAGGCGCGTTTGCACAGGTGCTAAAATATCCGAACGCCTATTATAAAACCGGTCAGCGCTATAGTAAAATGTTAAAAGACGTTTCTTAACAGCTATCATCGTCAAATTATAGGTTTACACTTTACACACACTTGCTATAAGCTTTACAGGTTTCTGCGGAGATAATACTTAATTGTACGCCTCACAGTTACAAACGAAACGTAAGCTATAAAAAAAAGCACAAGACATCGTATAGTCATATTCTGAATGAAGCGGAATTATTATTATTGTATTTAAGAGAGGTAGGACACAGCGTCTTCTTACACAGATTGATACAATTTTATACAAAACCTTACTTATTTTGGAAAAAGGACTAGACAGTATGCTGTTATATAAACCAACATCCATTACTGTCAGCTCCGGGAATTGGTTCTTTTGCTGGTGTTGTGTTTCTGCTTTTTTTGTATGTATGTGTATTATGCTGTTGGTGGCAGATGACCTTTACAGTGTCACCGTGTTTGGGGACGGCGAGATCCTAAGGGGACCTCAAGCCGAGAATTGGCGAGTGTCTCTAGAGGTATTCCAGGCGGATGACATCTCCCCACGGGGGGGGGGTCCGACTGAAGCCTCTAGACCACTCGAACCTGAGGTGTCGGCTCAAATAGAGGGCATCTCTGAGACTCGGACCTCGGCTCTAGTTAGCCGTTGCCGTGGGGTGTTTCTGCTGGTGAGTAGGGTTCCAGGGCTCCGCGGGGTAGGGGAATAGGTTGTGGCCGAAGCGACACACTTTCTGCCGCATCACCTCACTACGCGACTGGACTCCTTACACTTTAACATCAAGTGGAAATTCCCAAATTCATTTTCAAACCGATTAATTTTTATTTAAAAAACGAAGAATGTTTTCGATAAATGAGTTCAGATAACGTTATATCAATAATATTGCAAAGTATACAAACTCCTTTTAATAAGTTTTGAGCACAACAATAGCGGCTCTTGCAAACGAGTTCCCTTGCCTGCAATCAACTTTTTAATTATTATTTTTTTATCGCGAGACCAAAGGCGGTGACACGGTAATAGTATCATACAGTATTGTAACTCGGCTCTGTTTTTGAAATGAGTACCTTCAGCCGCGCGGTACGATAACACGCAATAGGGCTACCCGTCTGCAGTAATTCAATTAATTTCATCTACCCTACCTTCTTAAGTTTTTGTCTAGTATTGTGATTGTAATTTTTATATTAAAAAAGAAAACATAAATTCGTTGTACATGAAATGGGAAGTTGAATAAAATTATTTTTAGATTTAATTAAAAATCACCCGAATACATTTTATACGGAATAAGATTGCGGCCCGGCAAGACTGGGACTGAGCCAGAACAAATAAAACAGCACAATCTGTATTTTGCCATGTTATAAAAAGTACTTGTATTTAAACCATCACACCGTTTCTTCGCCACTGCTGTGTACCGAGCTGTATACTGAGACCAAGATGAGACGAGAGAGTTTCTATGAAGTTGTAATACTGCTTAATATCGTTACTGTGACAGTGATGATGCTGCGCACTCGGCCTACCGCGTTCGTTGACTCGCGGCACGGCACAGAGAGAAAGTTGTTAATTAAGAGCGCGGGTGATTGGCGATTGTGTAATGGAACGCAACAGGGTTGGAATGGTATGCGCGCATCAATCGATCAAAAAACAATTAAGCACATAGGAATTGAGGCGTTTTTGGCGGGTTTCATCGTGTGCGGTTGGCGTCTTATTTTAATTATTCTTTAATTCGTTAATAGTGGATATTGTGAAATAAAATTGGTGTGATTTTGTGTTACAACCTTCTGCACAACTGAAGAATTAGTGGAATCTTTAAAATATACGCTATTCCGGTGAAATGGATGTGAGAACTTTATTGTAGTGTTGACTATATACATTGCGTGCCAAACACTCCAAGAAATATTATAATGTGTCACACCCATATTCTAATGCAAAAAAAGGAAGATTAATACAAAAATAAGACGATGGCTGCATGGCTTTGCCTTTGCCTTTCCCAATAGGGAAGAATATAACTTAAAAAAACATAGGAGTTGAGTTAGTAAAATAAGTTATTAAATGTGTGTAGCATTTATATAAAAGATATTCAGATAGCATTTCTGTTGACTGTTTATTAGGCCCCTGCTCCTTTCTGGGTTGTACTACGTTTGGACTTGTATGCTAATCCTTTGTCTTACTTGAGTAACAAACAAAACAATGAGATGAGAACTACGCGATGCGATACGTTGCGAAAGTTACTCGGTATCACAATTCAAAACAGTTGTTTGTAATACACAATGTCATGTCATACGTAATCTACACGACGACGTAACGTAACGCGTGTATCAAATTTGGACCTATGAACGGAGTTTGTGGTTTAAAAACAAAAAATTAAACAAATGATCTTTGGCTTAATGCTTTGACTTAACCTTACAACGGACCCACTCGAAATTTGAAATGATGGGATTTGAACAGTTTTCGTATAACTAAATAGGGTATTTTTAGTGAGTTTGAAATAACTTTATTACCAGTGGAGATCGATCAGAATTACTATACAAGAGTATAATCTGACCAAGAAACCTAATATTGTCGTTTATTAGACCGATATGTAATTTTCATTTTATTTTCTAACACACCAATTAGCCTAGCCCCAAAGTAAGCACTATAGTCTTGTGTTATACGATACTAGGGCAACGGATAGAATACATATAGAAGTATATTTATATAGAAATACAAATTAAATATCGGCCCCTACCGGGATTCGAACCCGGGAATGTATGCAATGCAAAGTTGTGTCATCTTAAGTTATTATCGGTCGATAATGGTGTCGATTCCGGCGTGATTCTCTAAACTTTAAACTAAATTTAACATCATTCTCTCCTTTTCATTCTGTATAGAGAATGACAAGGATACACTGTTGTCAAATTTAAGTTTAGATTTAGAGTATCGTGCCAGAATCGACACCAATATCGGATGCATTATTTAGAACAGCTACGATGTAACAACTGCTGCGATAATGAAGATGCAATAGACGTATAGCACATTATCGCTATAACTAGGGCTGCCAGATAGCCGGGAAATTCGGGATTGTCCCGGAATCCCAAAACCAGTTTTTTCACAATATTACTATATCCACACCTATATCATTATGCGGACATCTATATATATATAAAATTCAAAGGTGACTGACTGACATAGTGATCTATCAACGCACAGCCCAAACCACTGGACGGATCGGACTGAAATTTGGCATGGAGGTAGGTAGATGTTAAGACGTAGGCTTACGCTAAGAAAGGATTTTGATCAATTCTACCCCCAAGGGGATAAAATAGGGGATGAAAATTTGTATGAAACTTGGTCAATTTTAAACCGATCGGGCTGAGACTTTGCATGCAGGTATAAGAAGAATCTTAGATGAATGTCATTGTGTATAATACAAGCCTGAGAACAAAAACTGTAGTCTATACTTCAGCTCCACACCGAAGCGAAGCGAGGGCGGGCCGCTAGTTATATATAAGTAAATTATGTGTCACTTTTTCAAAAGATCGTGTTGTGTTATCTCCGTTGTAGGACATAACATAAATATGGCTCTCTATTTTCTAAATAACTACCAGATATGAATGCAATATTTGAAAACTCAAATTTAACCATCCTTCCAAAGAACACGATACTTGTTTGAGATTTTAGAAATTTTATTGTAAAGAAGAATTTTTATTACTAAAGTCAATAAATTTGAAATACAAAACAAGAATAAGTTCGAAAATACAAATATAACGGTTAAGTAATATTTTAAATTTCGACGCACTCAAAAGGTCAATGACCATCAGTCGCAAATGACCTTTTGAGGAAGCCCTTCTTACATTGCGAAACTCATTCATCTTTCGAGTGACACCTGAATAGCGGTCCGATTCAATAAGTATAGCGATAACAGGAGGAAATATCTTTGGCACAATAATGATGTAATACGCGCCGTATTTGTCGATAAATCGGTCTGGTGAGGTAAACCACATAGCGATGATGCCTTGTTCTGTATTACGCAACTATATTTATATTTCGTGTATATACTGTATGTATGTATACAAAATATAATATTCATATTTCATATACATACTTACTGTATGTATACAAAATATAAATATTTAAGTTTTTTTTATTACAAGTGGTAAGAGTACCAAAATTAAAACAGTTTTTTTTATATTTTTAAATCTTTGAAATGTTGTGGCTACCATTATTGTGTTTAGCACATCAAAGTCTTTAGTTTTTTATAGCATAACTTTTTATTGAGTGGCTTGCCACACATAAAAAAATTCAAAATTCCAAAATTAATACCCTAATCGAATATTTCGTATATACAAAGATTTAATTCATTCAAAATTCAATATCGTTTATTCAGTCTAGGCTGTTACAAGCACTTGTGAATGTCGAAAAGCTACGCCATCGGTTCGTAAATCTACGGCGGGAGACCTTGTACTGAGAAGAACCGGCAAGAAACTCAGCAAGGGCTGTATTATATACAGAGTCGTCAATTTGAAAAATAACTTCAATATGAGATAACTCATGAAGTCACTTTCCATTACAAATGTAAATGATAAAACAATAATGACTATAAAATAAAAAATATAAAAAACAGATTAAAAAAAAAGTTTAATTATGCCGTGCCTACTGTTTAAGAATAAAAACAAATGTACCATTAAAGTTAAATATTACGATTAATAGTACCCAATGTAGCAAGAGCAGACTCATCTCCGCTGGCAGCACCCGTTCACGAGCATGACGCATGAACCAGCCATCGCTTCGCTCAACCATTTTTTAGGGAACGTAACGACCCGCCTCACCCGACATTGCTATCCTTCCGCACTTCTTGACTTCTTGTAGCTGTGGCAAAGTTTCTAAGTAACCACTAACATTACAAATAAACATCAATATTAATATTCCGTAGTTACAACTCGTTATCTAGACTGACTAGACTTACGCTATTCTACAAATAAATTTGCAACGCGATACTCGTGTCAGGGACACAGACAGACGGGGATACTAAACAAGATGAAATCTCATTGCCATAAAAATGTTTTATGACGTTTAGTTAGTTATCATAATTGGTGGAATTGAACGAATGATTTGTTAACAAAACCGCATTACATCGTTGAATAAATCTTCATTAGTAATGGGAATAATTATTGAAAGATTACCACTTCTGAAATGCTTAGTTTTTGTTGTTTTTTTTTATATTCGCCACATTAGGGGTAAAGTAAGTAAGAGACTTAGTCATTTGGGACCGGGACCACTGGTCCTAATAGGGACATGGAATTAATAAATTATTTTGAGGCGGCATTCCGGACCGAAGCTAGTGGTCCCGAATGACATTTTTTTTCTTTAGCTTTCTGTCCAGTATGTGAGACTATAACACAACATTCATACCCCGTTTTAATAAACGAAGAATACGCTTAGATACGTTACTTCATGTTTTGTCTCTGTTCATTGAATGACAAATGACATCATGTTTTGGCCCGTATTACAGAATGACAACTAAGTGTTGATCTTTACTTGAGAACAGTTAGAAAGGGATGTCGCTATGTGCTATATATAGAGACATTCCTTTCTAACTATGCTCAAGACTAGATTAATCACTGAGCCCCGTATTGTAGAAAGATTCTCAGTGATTGATCTCGCCTTGAGCATAGTTAGAAAGGGATGTCGCTATATATAGCACACAGCGACATCCCTTTCTAACTGTACTCAAGTAAAGATCAACACTTAGTTGTCATTCTGTAAAACGAGCCTGAGAATCTTTCTATAATACGGGCCATTATTACAGAATGACAACTTAGTGTTGAGCTTTAGCGAACAGTTAGAAAGGGATGTCGCTATGTGTTGTATATAGAGACATCCATTTCTAACTATGCTCAAGACTAGATCAATCACTGAGAATCTTTCTATAATACATCTTTGTTCATTGAGTGACGAATGGCATTTGAGTGGTATGAACAAAATACGGCGTAACTAGTCTTAGCTTATTCCTCGTTTATTAATAAAGGGGCTATGGTTTATTATGTCATACTGTAACTTTATGATCACGTTTACTGGCATAACCTTTAAATCTAAACAAAGAACATTTTACTAGAGTGACATGTAAAAACAATCTTGACTACAAAGAAAACCTTGATGCAGAACTTTCGTATTCAAATCAATCATCTCTTTGTTATTTTCTACGATTTCTATGTATCTTATTAAGTACAAGTTACAACATTATTATCACTCTGATTGATCTGTTTATCATTTAAATTTTCGGTCTTTCAATTTCTGTGTTTTCATGTTCATGTTGGTTGATGTTTTTAATTTCATTGATAAAAGTTAAAGAACTAAAAATGTAAAAAAAGACAAACATGACGGTGAATCCATTAACAGTGACGAAACGGTACAGAAAAAAAGTAAGTAGATTTGCTCAATCTAGGGATTAAGCAGTATTTCATGTCACTGGCAGCAAATTGCATTCTGAGCGAAATGAGGGATTCTGTAGTAGTTAATTCTTGAACGTAATGAGTGACGAGAAGAATTATGGTAAGCATCCTGAATGAAGCGAAGGATCCAAGTCTGCCCAAGGCTAAAAAACTTTTATCCCCGAGGAGCTTACTCTACTTTATACACCTACTATGAGGTTAATTAAAAAAGAAATTACAAATTCAAATAAAAAAAGGTTATTAAATTTAACATTGAATATTATGTTAGAAACACTTGTTAACTTTTATATAAGTCTCTGGATTTTTGGAGAAAATCCAGTCAATAATGTTTTGAGTTTCCGTTTTTATATCACAGTTGCTATCACTGGACATTTTTCTCAGTTTAATTTTAATAAAAGCCAACGAAAAATCGCGGATAGAAATCACCAATTTTTCTTTGAGATATTTAACTAAGTCTTCTGTAAAATATTATGTACAAATGTTTACCGAACTAATAAATATTATTATTTAGTCCCGTAGTTAAACGAAAGTCAATAGCTAAGCTAACATATATACAGCCAAGATTTTGTTAAATATTTTGCATCGGAGTAAATATGTGTATATATGAGTAAAGATATTTGATGTGTCGAATTTTAAAGTAAAAAGAAAACTCCTTGGAAGTTACGCTTTGAACAGACTTGTTTATTTTTTTCAAACTAGGTATTTTTGATAAAAGATTTGTTAACATTTTGGCGTTCCAAATTCAAATGTCATTATTACCAACGGGAACTTTATTACAACTTTAGCTCCCGTGGTTTACTTCAAACTGAGAATACTTCACTACTACTCTATTACTATGATACAGATGCAGGTAGTGTATAAAAATAATTATCCCCATAATTATGATACTTGCAAAAAGTGCCTCGCCCATATTATAACTCAGTAAACATAATATTTATCAGAATCAGGCCGTGCTGGACAATTAAATCTGTTATTGGAGTGGCCGAGCATTTTCTTATGAAGAATGTTAGAAAAACTGCTCAAGCGGCCATCGCACCGTGGCGGCACGGGACGAAAGCGGAAAGCATTTATACGTGGAACACATGTTCGAACCGTTTATTTGGTACTTATTTGGCCGAGTACCTAGTGGTTGGGGTAATATGGTAGTTTATGCAGGATATTTAATAATTATGTACCTAAATAACTATGTAAGTACAATGCACAGAGCTAGATTGAAGTATGCGCCGCATGTACTTCAAACTATATGGAAACCGAACGTGTCGGATTTTGAATACTCACGAAAGTATAGGTGGAGAAAAAGCATGGGCCCCGGTCACCTATTTCAATGATATCATTTTTACAGCTTCTTAAAATACATTAGGAATGACGAACGGTATCGAGAACGGCAACGAGAAGAAATAAATTTGCGTTAAAATGACCATTGGTCTCCCTTTTGGCATTCTAAGTCCATGACTTGCTTTATCTATTTCGATCTTTGTGTGCGGTAGAATGGATAAGTTAGAACAATATAGGAAGCTACAGCCACTTACTTTCCTAGTAAAACTAACTGGCTATTATTATTGAGACCCAACCAATGCCATAATACTTAAAACATCATAGGCCATAACAGGAGACTGTTTGACGGCCTCCGTGGCCGAGTTGTGTGTATTTCGGGTTTCATGCTGTCGCCAACTCGAGAGGTCCCTACACTTATATACGTATTATTATACGTATTCTATCTGTTACCTTAGTATCCCATAACACAAGCCTACAGTGCTTACTTTGGGGCTAGGCTAATTGGCGTGAGTGTTGGAAATAATGATTACCTCTAGTTGTGACATAACTGTGATAGTAAGACATATGTAATCGCGGACTTTCTTGTAGATATAGATGTTCTCTATAAAACTTTAGTTTATAAAAACTTTTTAACTTACTCTTTTGTCAATAACTTCCGCAGCGTACGCGACATAAGGTTATTTTTTGGTATTTGGATTACATTATCGAAGTTTTCATATGGAAACCTAACTTTTTTGAAATGTTCATCACGGATAATGAAGGATTCTAAATGTGAAAGTATTTTTCGAATCGGTCTTGTAGTTTCGGAGCCTATTCAATACAAACAAACAATCAAATCTTACCTCTTAATTATTTAGTATGTATACATAAAATAGACTTAAAATAGTAGGCAAAAATCTATTACAAAAGAATTATTTTTATTTACTTTCTCGAGCTACCGGCGAAAGACTTCAGTCTTTTGAAGGTAGACAGTATAGTAATAGACAGTAAACAAAATCATTATTCAGACGACGCATCCTGAACAGGTTGCCAAACGTCAATAAATAAATAAATCAGTGCATCTATACCGTTGAAACTTGTTGTATTTAATGAGTGTTGTGCGTGAAAGCCTAAGAAACAACTATAACTACTTACATAATCAAAATATATTTGAAACATTTTGTTTATTTTAATAGGCTAGTTGACACTTTTTGGAAATATGTTTTAAATGGTTAATAATTGTTCAATTAGACCGTAAAAAATGTATTGTATTTTTTTTTACCTAGAAAGCTACAAAACTTTAATTTTAAAATAGATTTTTCATGGACCGGCCACTTTAGTCTATAGATTATCTATGGTATGACGGGAAAAAAATAGTAAACAAACACTCGCAAGCACGTAGGATCTGAATTTACATTACAAAACCATAATTTCTAATAGATTTCATGATACATATAGTAATTATCATGATTGTATTATACGAGAATATAGAAACACATCGTTAAAGACTCCAGAATGTTGTGGTTCAAACTTTTAAGGTTATGAAATGTACCTGCTAAGTCAAAGAGTTTTGTCGTTTCTGCTTTCACAAATCCGGCGCCCAGCATTAATATAGTCAACAAAACCAATAAACTTTTCTTCAAGATATAAGAGTTTTTAGATATATTTTAATCCGACGAAAGAAACCACAGTAACACGCAATGACGTTTAGTTGTTTGCTAATATGTTGACGTCACAATAATGGTGGACAGCGTTTTTAGTGTTTAAAAAGCATAGACTAAAAATCTATTTTTTCAAATAAAATTACTACAGCCATCTTCTAATTTTATGAAGTGAAATCGATGTATTTAGGTTCCTCATAATAAAAATTATAAGAAATAAACATTTGTATAGTGCAATTTGACATGAGTCGACAGCATATTTATCCTCCTGTGTCAACCTTACCAAAATAAATAAAAATTTCGCCCGTCCTATTATAGAAGCTTTGTCCCTTTACGTGTCTTTATTTACTACTCATGTGATAGTACTGCTGATATCACACGCGCGTTTCCGACCCTGTAAAACTTCTCCACACCTATTTTGAAGAAAGTCTTGTTATATTTTTTTGTAAATGTTGCCCGAAATCACTCTAAATGTTTAATACTATCAAAATCATAATATTAAAATGGAGAGATATATAAAATATAGCGTGATAGAATTACTTATTGCTAATCAAAGTGACCGCTAATAGTTTCGATTTGAAACGATCGTAAAAACCAGTCTCTTGATTTTTAGTGACTGGCAATAAAAATAATTATTACATATTTATAATATAACTAATACCTACAAACTACAAACCTCTAGTTCATTAAGTTAACAACTCAAGTTTTGTAAATTTATTCTAATGTAGATTAATACAAATTGAGATAAGGCACATTAATAGGCAACTAATTATTATTTTCCATTAGCACAATATAAATAGGAATTAAACTATAACTGTCACTTAAAATAGACTAGGTAATTTTGTAGCTTCCGCTGCCCGTCCGTTTCTCAGTCAGTTCCTTGAGCGCTTTCTTCATCACACAATGTTATGCAAAAGATTACAACGGAAGACTGCGTCATATGAGAAAGAAGGCTGACATAATTAATATCAGTGATCAATATAAGAGAAGACAGCATAGCATCATTATCCCCGTCCTCATTCTCGTCAATAGCGGCTGCAGTCTTATCTCAGTTTAATATGTTAGTATGTTATTTTAATGCTAACCTCGTGACGCAGATAATGAATATATAAGTATGTCGTTTGGTGAACTTGAACCTTGTTTGACGCCCCGGGGTCAACGAATGCGTTTTGCATAATAAAAGCGGAGTTGCAAGCAAACCATTGTTTGAATTCATGAGAATGTAGCTGTTTTTTTTATTTATTTATTACATACCCTCTTTTGAAGCGGTGTAGGTAGGTACGCTTAATTGTGAATTGTTTTAATTGAAAAGCAAACCGTTGTTTTTCTAATCTTTTATATTAATTATTATGGCAATTTTCAGTTCTATTATCATTTTATTATTGTACAAATGACGACTTCGTTGATCACCTGTATGATCAGATATTATTCCATATGCAGAAGATATAAGTTGTTCATAAGCATGTCAGTTAAACACTTATAATATTAACCACAGAACACAGAAACATATTAGTATATAGGCGTTTATAGACCGTATGAACGGGAACCGATGTCGCCGGCTCGCCCCCACTACACTTCCGCCTGATAGATAATAGCCAATCAAAGGACACCACATGAAACAGAAGAAGCAATCAGCGCGCACATCCGAGAGCAACGACGCAATCAGAACCAAGTTTTGGTCAAGTTATGAGCATTTGCTCACACATAACTGTGGCGCGCCTGCCCCGACTACAAGGCCCTTCTAACCTATTTCTGTGTTCTGTGATATAAACGCTCTTATTGCTATGTTAAGGCTGTATCTACGCCAAAATGTGTTGACCGGTTAGGTCTTAGCTGCTGGCGTAAGTTGGTTGGGCCCTGTCTCATCTATCAACAAACAAAGATAACACCTTATCAACATGTTATCGCTAGTTTGTTATTATCAAATAAATCTTTGTACCACCTTCATTGCTCAGTGAACGAAAAATAGTAAACAACACGTGACGATACTTAACAATCACTAGGTATTTCATTTGGTCGAAAATAGTCGTTAAGTACAAGTCAACGACTAGCAACAACAATCATCAGTCATTCTGATAAGATTAAGTATTTACACTATTAATATTACACTATTTTACTTTACCAGTCTTCTTAATTAAATCATTTTGGTATAACTAACTTTGTTGATCGTTCATCACATTCTAAATACACCGAATTTACTGTCTCTAAACGGAGCGTTTAATGCAGCTGACAAACTGAGTCCTAACACTTTCCTAGTGTCCTTTGGAGCTATAACACCGTCATCCCATAATCTCGCTGTACTGTAGTAAGGAACACCTTCCTTTTCAAATTTGGCTTCCAATGGCTCCCTTATTCTCTTTTCGTCTTCATCGGTCCACTGCGTACCGTCTCTTAATGCCTTTTCCTTTGCCACCAAAGACAAAACAGTTGCAGCTTGAGGACCACCCATCACAGATATCCTGGCATTAGGCCACATGTAAAGAAAACTCGGAGAATAAGCGCGACCACACATACCATAGTTGCCTGCACCAAAACTACCGCCGATTAAAATGGTGATCTTAGGACCTTTGAAGCAACTTACAGCTGTCACCATTTTGGCACCATTTTTAGCGATTCCACCAGCTTCTGCCTCCGGACCGACCATGAATCCAGTGATGTTTTGTAAAAATATCAATGGTATTTTCCTAGCTGCGCACAATTGAATGAAATGAGACCCTTTTAAGGCTGATTCTGAGTGTAGAACTCCATTGTTTCCAATAATACCGACAGCATGTCCATACAGAGATGCAAAACCGCACACTAAAGTGTCACCATACAATTCTTTAAACTCGTGAAATCGACTACCGTCTACCACTCTAGCAATGACCTCGCGGATATCGAATGGTCTCTGAATGTTGGCTCCGACGATTCCATGTAGGTCTTCGATGTCATGTACTGGCTCGTCTACAGCCTTACTGTATATTCTGGTTCTCTGATCGCTATTCCAGTTTAAATTAGCAACCACATTTCTAGCTAGATGCAAAGCGTGCTCATCATCTTGAGCATAATGATCGGTGACACCTGAACGACGACAATGCAAATCAGCACCGCCTAAATCTTCAGCTGATACCGTTTCTCCAGTAGCAGCCTTCACTAATGGCGGACCGGCCAGGAAAATGGTTCCTTGTTTCTTAACGATAATGCTCTCATCTGACATGCTAGGGATATAAGCGCCACCTGCAGTACAGGAGCCCATTACAACTGATACTTGCGGAATTCCTTCCGCCGACATATTGGCTTGATTATAAAAGATCCGTCCGAAGTGTTCCCTGTCGGGAAATACATCCGCTTGGTCCGGTAAGTGAGCGCCACCGGAGTCGACGAGATAAATGCAAGGAAGCCGGCATTCCTGTGCGATGGCTTGCGCGCGCAAGTGCTTCTTCACTGTGACAGGAAAATAGGTACCTCCTTTGACTGTTGCGTCATTCGCTACAATCATGCAGTCGTGGCCGTGAACTTTGCCTATCGCAGTAACGATGCCGGCGCTAGGCACTTGTCCTTTGTACATTTCTGTAGCTGCGAGTGTGCTCAGTTCTAACACATCGCTGCCTTCATCCACCAACCGGTTAATCCTGTCTCTGACGAGTAATTTCCCCCTCGATATGTGCCTTTTGACCGCATCCTCTGGGCCTCCTTTGACGGCTAAGTCAGTTTTGTGCCGGAGCTCGTTGACTAGCTCGTCCATTTTGACCTTATTGTCTTGGTAGTATGGGTCGGCTCTGTTCGGCTCGCTGCCGATGACCGACGCCTGGTTGAGATGGCGGCATTGCGCGGTCAGTCGGCGTGCCCCTCTGACTAGTTTGAGCATTATTACTATATAAATTACGTACACAGCGCAACACGACCGGTCGGCGTCTCGATGCCGCGCCACTGACGATAGCGTGTACCGTTATCTACACAATTGAGTGGTATAAAAACAAATTCTTTAGGCGGCCGACCCCCTCGTCGATAAAAACACTCATTATGTATAAATGATAATGTAGTGTCATTGTGTACAATAATTTATGTATCTAACAGTGTTCCTTCAAAATTTTTAGACACCAAATGTTTCGCTATAAGTATTTATGTGTCGTTTGCGTAATGTCTTGCACTAGACTAGATTAACGACTATGATACCTATATTGAGGTACAATCGCACTACACTTCTCAGTTTGGTAAGGTCGTATGTTGAATAGGCATTCAATCATTGTATCACGACTTGACCCACTTGCCGCCGGCATGCCGGTGAATACTCACCAGTGTATGGCACAAAATAAACAAGTTCCAAATCGAGTAAAAGAGGGGATAGGAGAATTCCGTAGTGTCTTTCTTAATACAAAAGTAAAAGAACATTTACAGAGAAATTAATCGATATTTACAATGGGATGCGGGAATCCTGAAACAGAATGTATAGGAAGGAACCCAGGAACCCAACAAACACTTCCACTGTCCGGGAAGACCTAAAGATTTCTGAATATTTTTATGCCTGATTGAAAAAATATCTTGAAAGTATTTCTTGTGTATATATCAGTATAACTCATAATTACACGTGTTGGTTTGATATCTGTAATATTATCAGATAAATCAATCAAACGTACTTCAACCACATAGGTTTATTATATAACTAAATAAAGGCAATCTTTCCAGGTGGTCTGACGTGCATAACTGCGCCACGCCTACAAGAAGTCCATCTTATCATAAAACTCAAACTGGGAGACGAAATAAATGATAAACGCCAATCCCGCACCCACTCCAATGCTCTGCGACTTGCAATCGCTTTTAAAACATTACATGTGAACGACGCAATAGGTGCAGCATTTAGCAACTTATTCAGCGACAAATAAAAAATTATGAGTAAGTCCGCGTAATCTGCGCTTACGCTGCGGCTTGCGGGTGAATGACACCGTTTCACTTTCCGCAGTGACCCCGCAAGGTGGCGACACTTTCTTTGCGATGACGTGTGATGATTCGAACACGGACATCCTACCTACGTCATTATCTGTTCCATTTGCTGCGATACTTCGCCTTGTAGGAAAGTTTGTTATACTTAATATCCATTGCAAGTGTAGCGCACACGATACGCATATTTACATTGTCAGTGACGTCACCGAGACACTTGTGGCCGACTGATATGTCGAACACGTAGCTGAATGTGACACTTGAAATTCTATAATTCAATTAAGTCGTTCATAACCTTTAAGGAAGTCGAAAAATCTGTGGTCGACAGGAACTTACTAAAAAATTCAATAAAGACTATTTTTTATGTCTTATTTCAGACAGACATCAGTACCCTTAGCACGAACCATTATCGAATTCAAATAGTTTGCGAGTCAAAAATGTCATTGTCAAATGTGTACTGATTTTTAGTTCTCGTTACGTCCTTTGTGGCGCTGCTCGAGTTTCCATCCAAAATTTGACAATGAGATTTCAGACTATCAAACTATTTGAATTCGATATTGGTTGGTGCTAAGGGTACTGATTGAAAAACCGGCTTTTTAAAAAAAAATGGGTTCCATACCATATGTCATTTACAAATATGACATGGGATTGTTAGTTCACTTAATTTTTTTGACAATTTGTTTTTTCTCTTCTGTCTTTTTTTGTCAATCTTACTATCGATCATCTTCTTTTTCCTGATGTTATACTAAAGGAAGATATTTATTTATTTGTGTATATGGTACCATCTTAGACAATCTATCCTGACATTTCTTATTTGCTTTCAAATAACGAATATTGTCACTTTTTGCTTTTCTCACAGCCTTTACATTGTTTTACTATCTTCCTGAATTATGTTTTTACTTTTTAATTTATTTTCTACCTTCCTTTCGTTATCAATTAAATGCCAACAAATTATAAATGTTATCCTAATGTGGAATCGTTATCCCACTAAAATTGATCACGCCCAAATCGCTGCAAAAACGAGCGATGGACCTGTATTTTATTACAGCTATAAAATCTTAAATTATTAGGTTTATGTATTAAAAATTATTTAATCGGTGCAATTTTGTAATGCGCATATTCATTACGAGATTTCACACTCCAAATGGCTGGATGTTTCGAGATTATCATCTTACAACATGCGAACTGCGAATTTTTTTCAAATCTTTAATAGCTGCACATATTAAAGAGTTGCGAGTTATAAGCAATTGCTTAGGTGTGCTTAGATTTTTAATAATTATGCTTACATTAATTAGTCAAATTTTAAAGCAACAAATTATTTGCGACATTAAAATAATTTATAGGCTCTTGAATTTATATACATATTTCATACTTATTTTTAAATAATTAATGCATTCACTCAAGGTCAATTTAGTGGGTAGCAATTATTCTGAGATTAAATACGAGTACCTAGATAGCTACAAAATAAGATTTGTCATCGAAAAAGGGAAAAGTTTTACTGAGAACTAGAAGCCAGGCCAATGTTATTTTGAAAACTGATCATGCTCGAAAGATTTTTAAAGTTTCCAATGTCTACTTTTTTCAGGATCGAGATGAACAAACCAAATTGGAAATGAAGCACAGGCAAGAAGAAGATGACCTATATAGAAAATTCTCAAAACACCGCGAAGAAGAAAATAGAAGGATACGGGAGGAAATACAGGTATGACGAAACACAATAACAATGAATGTAAAGAAATAAGAGATGTAGGTAAGGAATAGCAGCACTTATCACTCAAGAAATAAAAGCCGTTAATCAGAAACGGTATTTTCGAAACAACTAGCAACATGTCCCTATTACTGAAAAACAATCAAATTAAGGTCCAAGCCCAATAAATTAATGTCTGTCGTTAATGCTGTGCCTTCTCATCAGGGATACTAATCTCCCAACTGCTGGGCCACAGGCCTTCCCTAAGATAGAACAGGGTGATTGGGCCATGACCCACCACGCAGACACAGTGCGGATTGGTGGGTGCTAACGACTGCCGATGAAGCCGGGACAAACGGCTTAACGTGCCTTCCGAAGCATGGAGGAGCTTATGTTTTCGGTCACCGAACGCGCTAACCACCTACGTCATCGAACTCTTTAATACATGACGTAATAACTATGAATGAAAATATCTTCCAGAATGAGTGGGAGAGAGAGCTCGAGAGACTGACGAGCCGGTTCCAGCAAGAAATGCAGGTGAAGAAACGTCGTCCGGACGCAGAGATAGGCGCCCTCACGCTGAGGCACCAGCAGGAGAGAGCGGACCTAGAGAAGAACATGACGTTAAGAAGGGACAAGAAGAAGGAGAGCTTAACGAGAAAAATGTTGGAGCATGAGAGGTTTGTTAAGTGTATTTCACACGCATAAATAGCATAAGATTAGGATGGTTGGTGTGGCAGTTCATTACCACCACGAACTAACATCATATGAGGTGGAGTCATTTGCTTACCTTATTATTTAAAAAAATGCAGGTACTTTGTAAAAGTCATGTTAGTCTCTTTTCGATGTTGCAGCTGGAAAAAGCTAGAGCACTTGGTTTCATTCCTATTGTATCACTGCTCCCTTTAGATTGAAACATATAGCAGTTAATTGCTTAAAATAAAAATGTAATAACATAAAGTTTCTATTATAATATCTAATTCTATAAATTCGCCCGGATAGCGAAGGATGCGGGTTCGAGTCTGGTCCGCTGCCTGGTCCGCGTGGATTTTTTTTCTAGTAAACTTTTCTTTAGATTTAAACATCTAGCAGTTAAATGCTTAAAAAATAAATAAAATCATAACTATAAATTCTTTAAAAATCTTTACTCTATATTAACTTCTTCTTCGTGTTTATGTATTAAGTTTAATAACAAAGCTAAAGAATTAACTTCAGTATGAGAACAAAGTTGAAAATATGGTTAAACTTACCATTATCAAAATCCTCAGAGCTGCAACGGCGGCACTAGTCGAGAAGCAGAGCCACGAGATGATGGAATTGATCCAGGAGCGACGCTCGGAGTACATGGCAGGCTCGTCCCTCTACCTTGATGGGGAGGAAGCGCCCCCGTACCCGTCGCGAGCGCCGGCGCCCCAACCGCCCCTCGTGTCCAAGTTCCACATCTATACGGACCCGGCGGAATTCGCGGATGTCGACAAAATTGCTATCTCGGTAAGTTTAAGAGAAGCTAGAAATATTATATTATTATATTATAGCTTTGACTTGCGCTAGACATCTCGTCAACGCTAAAAATGCGCCGATGCCAGGAAAAAGAGGGAAGAGCGACAATCTAAAGGTAAACTATCTATAATTAGTTGTAAAGGTTTGTATAAGGAATATGAAAGCAACTTGTTATCAACCTGGGTGCGTGCAATCTGAATGCAATAGCTTTAGAAAGTCTTGGGACGCTGCTCTATATAAATGACTCTAACTGGTCGGGGAGGAAGCACTTCCGTACCCGTCGCGAGCGCCGACACCCCAACCACCCGTCGTGTACAAGTTCCACTTCTATGCGAACCCGGCGGAGTTCGCGAAAATCGAGAAAATTGCTATCTCGGTAAGTTTAAGGGAAGCTTCGAGCTAGAAGAGATATTTAAATTTTGAGTTTCCGAAAAGCTATCAGGCTAAAAGCATGGTCGTGGCTAGGGGAGGGAGAGTGTGGGCGATGCCTTAAAACCTGTCTGCCCATCCTAAAATTCGATTCAAATTAGGTCATTTCAAAAATAATGTAAGACAAAATTCCTCTACTCCAATGGCTGAAAGAGCTCTTTAACTTGGGGATCATCTATTAATCACGTGAGGCTCTAAGGGGGTCGGAAAAATATCACGAAATATCGCAAGGTGGGGGAGAAGGGAGACATAATGAGATAATAATAATAATAATAATAATAATAAAAAAATAAAAATAATAAAATAATAATAATAATAATAAAAATGCCAAGAATCTCCACAACCGAGAGGTGTGCAGTCTCAGGGATTACTTCCTTAACAGTGAGGGTGGGTTGCATCGTGACATTGTAGCAGTTGACAAAAACCTAACGCCGCTCTCCTTGGCCAAAGAGAACTGGCGCAAGCCGAGGGTGCTAAGCACCCAGGATCGCAAGGAAGTATGGAAAAGCAAGGAGCTCCACGGACGGTTCTATCGGGCCCTAACAGGGCCTGATGTGGACCAGCTCGCCTCCGTGAACTGGCTACGATTCGGTGATCTCTTTGGGGAAACCGAAGGGTTTGTCTGTGCAATTGCTGACGAAGTCATGATGACGAACAACTATCGGAGATATATCCTGAGAGACGGAACGGCCGACATTTGTCGAGCATGTCGTCGGCCTGGTGAATCCCTCAGACATATCGTCTCCGGTTGTTCTCATCTGGCCAACGGTGAGTATTTGCACAGACATAATCTCGTAGCCAGAATTATTCACCAGCAACTTGATGTTCAATACAACCTAGTAGAATCCGAGGTGCCGTACTATAAGTACACACCGGCGCCAGTTCTTGAAAATGGTCATGCAACGCTCTATTGGGATCGACCTGTCATTACGGACAGGACTATTCTTGCCAATAGGCCTGATATCGTATTGACAGATCGATTGAAACGCCAGGCAGTGCTCATCGATATCACCATCCCGCATGACGAGAACCTCGTGAAGGCCGAGAAGGACAAGCTCAGCAAGTACCTGGACTTGGCCCACGAGGTAACCGCTTTGTGGGATGTGGATTCGACGATCATTGTCCCTATAGTCGTTAGCGTAAACGGTCTCATAGCGAAGAGTCTCGATCAACATCTAAAGAGCCTCTCGCTAGATGGTTGGGTCAAGGGGCAGATGCAAAAGGCAGTACTCCTGGAAACGGCGCGCATCGTCAGGCGGTTTCTTTCTCTGCGGCCCTAACCACCGGTAGCTTGGGCCTCGCTCCGCTGCTGGTGGCCTTCTAGGTTAGGTTTTTTATACTATATTTATTTTTGTATTTACGTTGTTGTATTTTACTTTTATATATATTTTATAAAAAACCTAACTTGTGAAATGAAATAAATGAGAGTATAATAATAATAATATTCTTTATTGACATACACCTCACAGGACATACAAGACATTAAACATGACAGTGAAAACGTACACAATAGGCGGCCTTATTGCTAAACAGCAATCTCTTCCAGGCAACCCATGACAGTGAAATAAATAAATAAGAGGAACAAGAAGGGGGGGTGTAGTAGGTATGGTAAAATAAATAATGAATAATAGATGTAATAGATATATACAAAGAGAGAGACAAGAGAGAGGTAAGACTTAAAGTTGGGAAAGGAAATAACCTCTAACTTGATCACTAAACGAGCTTAGAGTACGAGCCTTTCGGATTGTTTCAGGTAGTGAGTTCCACAAGCGAACAGAATGCACAGAGAAGGAATATGAAAAGAAATCAGTTGAATGGAGTGGGACTGCAAGGGTTAGATTTGAAGAGGACCGCAAAGTGCGTTCTGATTTGGAATCAAGAAACGAGAAACATTCTTTTAGATAGGGCGGAGAAGTAGGAAGGAAAAGTACAGAATAAAGAACCGTAAGAGTGTGTAAGTCCCTGCGTCGGCGAATAGGGAGCCATTTTAGTTTGTGTCGAAAGTGAGACACATGGTCATATTTACGTAGATTAAAAATGAATCTGATACACATATTCTGCAGACGTTCCAGCTTGTTTAGGAGTTCCTCAGATATGTCAGTATAACAAACATCAGCGTAGTCGATAATGGAAAGTAAAAGTGTCTGAGCCAAAGTGACCTTTGTACTTGTTGGTAAAAAATTACGCAACCGGTTTAATGAATTGTATGCGGCAAATATTTTCTTTCTTACCGCTTCCACCTGTGGTTTCCATGAGAAATACTGATCAAAGATCACACCAAGATTTTTCACCGTACTAGAGAAAGGGATAATAGTACCATCAAAGATAATAGGGGGCAATAATCCAAAATCAATCCTGGAAACAAAGTACGGACTGCCTATTATAATAGTCTGCGTTTTTGAAGGATTTACAGTAAGGCCGAATGACTTAGTCCAACTACTAATTATAGCTAGGTCTGAATTGGTAGTTGCTATAGCGTTTGAGATATCAGATAGCGATGCTTGAGTGTAGATCTGTAGGTCATCAGCGTAAAGGTGATAGGAACTGGAAAGTATTTGTGAGATCGAATTTATAAAGAGAGAAAAGAGAAGAGGAGATAAGACGCCACCCTGAGGAACTCCGGCATTGATAGTGCACCACGCAGAGAAGTTGCCTTCGATGCAGATGCGCTGCCGGCGTCCTAGCAGGTAACTTTGAAACCAATCAATAGCCGCTGGAGATATGTTAAGAGAACGTAGAACAGCAATAAGAATATCAAAATCAACAGAGTTGAAGGCGTTGCTCAAGTCAAGCAACGTCATCAGTGTAAGTTGACGATTCTCCATGCCACATCGAATGTCATCCGAGATCTTAATCAATGCAGTAGTAGTGCTGTGACCGGTACGGTGAGATGTTCAGGGGAGGGGATTAAAAGTCGCTAATTAAACATCATACAATATTAATGGATGAATTCTTGGTGGTGCGTCACATTAAATCTTTTAGGTTGCAGTTACTACAGTTTCATTAGGAATGCAGCATAGACCGTAACTATTAAGTTTGACGAAAGTTAGAGCTGTCACTCTGTTTGTGTAAGATAATAATAGATTAAGACAACACATGACATGACTTAAGGAAGCATTACGAGACTTTGTCGTTTGTGACTACGACTGATAGTTATTAATAGTAATTTGTTAAATTACTACTCTCAATATAATCGAATTTACATGCAAGACAATTATCCACGGAAAGATGATTGAGCAAATGAGAAGCGTCAACTGGTCATGTTTTTAGCACGGGTCAAGTGCAGATTAAATAGAGCCAACAATTGCAGATTCAGGCGGAACTAACGCCTTAACGTGCTTTCTGGAGCAAGGAAGAGCTCGAGATAATAAATTTATGGTGATGCCCCGGAGTTTAAGGGATCTGGACGGCCAGATCCGCAGGCACAGTAGGTATATTTACTCTCAATTACTTTTTTGCAGGTAGCGCAAGAAGACCAAAAAACATTCACAGACCTAGTCCGGCAGCTAGTAGGACGATGCGCCACCGACGTGGAGAAGGCGAGGACCATCTTTCGTTGGATCACCGTGAAGAACCTCAACAACATACAGTTTGATGATAATTTACGAGGAGATTCGCCCCTGGGACTTCTTAGAGGCATCAAACACGGCACAGAGAGTTACCACGTACTATTTAAGAGATTGTGCAGGTGTGTCTTAGGCTCATACATAAAGTTCCGTAACTTTAGGCAACCATCATTTTATCACTTATTCAGTGGTGCAATATCATTTTTTTTTATTATATTTATTTATTCTCTTTATTACAATGGTCTGATTTATGTGTATGTATATGTTTTTTGTCTGTATCTTCACTAATTTGTCAGACCTAGTCCCGGGATGACGGGTTCAATACCATTAGATAGATTATTTTGATAGTAATCCCATAACCACAAAATGTCCACGATGCCAAATTTGCCATCGGTTGGGTTAGGTTAGGTCTAAGTTGTATTTATATTCTCAATTATATCTCAATGTTACAGTGTGTATGTGCCAGCTGGCTGCTGATTTTACTGCTGCCTACGAACGTCAGTAGATACTTATAAAAAGCCTATTAACGAATGAAGTTCAAATACTATTACAAACGTTGGACTGACACTCTTTTTCGTGGAACAGCTTAAGCTTAACCGATGCCAAACCTAAATATGGCTACAATAAACTTTGAATCCCATCCAATCCCATTCAGACTTTCAAGATATATCTATCTGTTGAGATCTTTTGCTCCTCTTACCTTAATTAATCAACATATGTCAAATAATTTACTTTTCAATTACTTATAAATTGTACTTTCAATATTCGAATGATACAGTTAACCAAACCTTATTTCGCTTTTCCACAGCTACGCAGGCCTTCATTGCGTAGTGATCAAGGGGTACAGCAAATCAGCTGGCTACCAGCCCGGCGTGCGGTTCGAAGACAATAGATTTAGAAACTCTTGGAATGCAGTATACGTTGCGGGCGCGTGGAGATTCGTGCAATGCAACTGGGGCGCCAGGCATCTGGTCAACGCTAAAGACGCGCCTAAACCTGGAAATAGAGGGAAGAGCGATAGTCTAAGGTAGGAATATTATCTTTATGCTTGTATGTTAAGAAAAAGTAGAATATAGCCATAGGTGAGGTCCAAATTCCAAGGGCAATTAGGTCGGGAATTCTCGGAACGCCGTATACGTTACGGGCGCGTGGAGATTCGAGCAATGCAACTGGGGCGCCAGACATCTAGTCAACTTTAAAGTTGCGCCTCAACCTGGAAATAGAGGGAAGATCGACAGCCTAAGGTATAGTAAGAACTTTATGATCGTAAATGAAGAGGTAGAATATAGCCATAGGTGCGGTTTGAAGACAATCGATTCAGAAATTCTTTAAACGCGGTATACGTCGCAGGCGCGTTGCAATTTGTGCAATGCAACTGGGGCGCCAGGCATCTGGTCAGCGCTAAAGACGCGCCTAAGCCTGACAATACAGGGAAGAGCGACAGTCTGAGGTATATCCTGTTGATGCTATAAGCATTTTTTATTGACAGCGACTGTCCTCAGACTGTCGCTGTCAATAAAACAAAAGAATATAGTAAGGTCCACAGTCCCAGGGCAGTTAGTTGAGGATCTCTTGAAACGCAGTATACGTTGCGGGCGCGTGGAGATTTGTGCAATGCAACTGGGGCGCCAGACATCTGGTCAACGCTAAAGACGCGCCTAAGCCTGGCAATAGACGAAAGAGCGATAATCTAGAGTTTTATGAGTATGTTTACGCTTGTTTATAGTAGAATACAGTTATAGCGACCCGAGGGATATTAGTTCAGGAATTCTTAGAACGCAGTATACTTACTTCAGAAGGCACTTGAAGCAGTTGGTCCCGGTTGCGTCTTCATTTGTCTGCAGCCCAATCTCCCTGTTCCATCCGTTGGGAAGACCTGTGCCACAGCCATGGGGGATCTGATGATGATGTTGAATTGGTCTTAAAATTATATCTATAAGTGTAATCTCACCAGTGGGTATTAAATGCACATAATCTCAGTAAAAACATTGTTTCTTTTTATGTTAAAAGGCGCAAACAAGCATATGGCCCCCCTGATGGTAAGCGGCCACCATAGTCTATTTAAAGACGCTTGCGATACAAAAAATATAATCTTGTCATTACCTACCTTGACCCAATTCCCTACCCCATGTAGCCCTGGGCCTTACTCACCGACAGAAACACAACACCACCAAAAGGTAGTGTTATTTTACTGTGGTCTCCTGTAAGGTGGCGAAAAATCCACTGTACCCTACCTCTCTTAAATATACAAATGAATTAACTCCCCCTCTCTCCATCCATCAGATATGAGTACGACGACCACTACTTCCTGACGGACCCGCGCGAGTTCATCTACGAGTTCTTCCCGCTGCAGGCGGACTGGCAGCTGCTCAAGACGCCCATCACGCTGCACGACTTCGAGGAACTGCCCTTCGTGCGCTCCCTGTTCTTCAGATACGGGCTGTACTTCAGTGACCCGAACACTAAGGCAGTCATGTATACCGACTCCACAGGTACTGTCTTCTACTGTTATTTTACTGTGAAAATGAATCATAACCTGTAGACGCCAATCACGCTGCACGACTTCGAGGAGCTGCCCTCCGTGCGCTCAATGTTCTTCCAAGAACAAGTAAAATTCTAACCGTACTAAATGTAAGAAACCGGACAGATAAGTATAGTTGCGGCTCTGAGCCGTCATGTATACCGACTTCACCCAGTGCTGGACATAGGCCTCGTCTAGGTATTTCCAAACACTCCGATTCTCCCCTTTCTGCAGTCAGGGGGTTCCCGGACTCGGATGTGATCGGTCCACCTGGTGCCGACACTGCGCTTTCCGGTTGAAAGACCTTGAGACCCCAACACCCATCAGTCTGCCGCACAATGTGCCCCGTGTATTATACTTATTCTTGTTATTATCGGAACTGCCATTTACCTTGTTTTGAGCAAGTTCCTGATATTTCGGCAATGTTGCAAGTGATCATGATCACGGAGTAACTGAAGTTGTTGTGGGTAGAATGTTATTAGCAGAAATAGCAGTCTGACGATGTCTTTTAAAAGAAACATGGCTGACGGTATGTAGCCATCATAATTAACCTATAGACCAGAGTTCTGCACGACTTAAAGGGAGATGCCGTTCGTGAGGTCGTTGTTTTTCCGAATGTTTATGCTCGCCATATTAATCAGATGCACTGAAATCTTTCTGATGTTGTGTGGGTGTGTTTGACACATCGAAAATATGTTTTATTTACTAATTCTTTTATTTGACATTTCAGTGGTAATTTTACACAACCTTATAAGATACATACATATATTTAAATCTGCATACATTTGATGTTTATCTGAATAACCAATAATTCTGATAAATGTCTTTTTTAAAGTCTTCAAAAAATCAAACAGATTTTAAACAAAATTATCAACATGCCAATGATAAGTAAGGAGGACTTCTGCATTTTAATTAGCGATTTGTCCTGTTCGTTTAGGTGCGGCGACTATGCGTATAGCCATGCCGGCACACATGCAGAGCTCACTCATCTTCCACTACAACCTCAAGTTCTACGACACGGAGGGCGACGGCTTTGACGGCGTCAGCCTCAAGAGATTCGTAATGCAGGTAAATAATACTGTGTAAACTCTTTGACGAATGCTTTACAAATGCGAGCTTTGTCGTTAAAAAGTTAGGCACTCAAAAAGAGCTCTGCTTGTTTTGTAGTAGTACCTAAAGTTTCCCTCACATAAACACCCTAACGCAGCGTCCTCGGTGATCGTCCTGGATGCGAACGCGGGAACAATAAACACGCAAAAGCGTGAACAACGTGGTGTCGTTCGGCGTGCATGCGTCCTACAGCAGCGCCTTCCTGCTGACAAGCAGTGCCTTCCTGCTGACATCTTACAGTGTCTAGGCAATTTTATTACCATTGATAGGTTAGACGTTCAACAAGACTTAAAAAGAACTGGTTATTTTGTAGTAGGCACTTAGTACCCAGAGTTGTCCTCCACAAGAACACCTTTAGGTAACCCTTAGGTTAGACGCGGAAGAACCTAAACGGGGATCCCGCGGCTTCGCGCTAAGCAGCTTAGTGGGTATTCGCAGGACTTTTTTAGCGGATATAATACCGTAAAGCGCCCGTAAGAGTTGCGGGGTCCTCGGTGGGCAGCCACTGGGGGGTTCGTAAGACTTGCGGGAGCCAGGTGTAAGGCCCGTTCGGCGGTGTGCCTCTTAAAGGCGCCGTCGTCCGTAAATAGATTTTTTACCTGCGTATTAAAAAAAAAGGTAACCCTTAGGTAGGCGTGCGCTGCGTTAAGCGGTTCTTTCATGTTATTTCATAGAGCAGCGATGCGACGAAGACCTGCCTCACGCAGCGCTGCTTCATGAAACAAATACGCAGAGCGGACGTCCGCTCCGTGCTCCCGCTTTACGCAGCGCAGGCCCTTAATTCTAAGGCCGTTTACAGTCAGTGGCAGGTAATATGGTGTCGTTTCGCGTACACGCGCCCTCCAACAGCGCCTTCCTGCTGGCCACCTGCTGGTGGCCGGATTGAGCTGGCTTAAAATCTTAAATTCTATGAAGGGGCCCTTGGATTGTTATAGGTTATTAGGATGTTTTTCGATGGGCCTTTTATCGTTTATATGCAACCGCCCCCCCCCCCCCCAAACTATAAAATTTGACCTAAAAAGAGACGTATATGGTCAGAATGTATTGGTGCGCGGGGTCCCTCTTGAATCTAAATTAATCCGCCACTACGAATATCCCTAAATCGTAAGGCCGTTTACAGTCAGTGGTGGGCAACGTGGTGTCGTTCCGCGTGCACGCGCCCTGCAGCGGCGCGTTCCTGCTGGACATCTTCGCCAACGCGGTCACGCCTCGCGAGTACCTCACCGGCGAGCCCATGAAGTTCAAGAGCGTTTGCAAGTTTAAGGTTAGTAAACAAATGAATATCTTCTCAAACATGCTTGCAAGTGAGCATTATCTTTAACAAACTTCCTCGATTAATTTATATATGATGTTTCGCATCCTTTTGAGGCTGCGTCGTCAGAATTATAGCGTCACATTTTATTTACTTGGTCGAGCTACCTTCGGAATACTTTTATTGAGCGTTCGACCTAATTCTGGACAAGCACACACATTTTAGTTTTTTTTCCAAATTACTCTACCCACCTCAGCTAATTGTTGAGTCAGTTAGAAAGATTGCTGATGCGACGGGTATAAATGGCGCTCCAACCACCATACTATATCTTTGAAGTGAAACTTCTTTACATATTTCTTTGAAAATCTACCAGTTATTACAATAAAACTTGCTTATATTTAAACAGATCTGCTGTGCGGAGCTGCAAACGGTAATGGTGCCATTACCGGACTGCGCGAGCGGCGAGTGGGGCCCTACCAAAGCGACTAGACTCTTCGGTCTAGTACCAATCACACACCAGGTGAATATAATTTCACCATCATTTGTCGTGAAAGTAAATCATGATGAAAAGAGTAAGAGGGGGAATGAAAATTTGTATGGGAAACTTTATTTAATTACATAGCCTAGTTTCTCTATGGAAACAATGAGCATATATTGAATGACAGTATCGAAGTTACAAACATCTCGTTTAAAAAGATCTTTAATGGTCACGGCCACGGGACCCACGGGTCCAGCAGGGTAGCAGCGGATAAATTCGGAAAGCGATCACCGTATCAATTTGAGCCGTTCAGTATTATTTGTACAACGCACATTAATCGGACTCGTAACGAAGTCTCACCTCGGACAAGCTCGTGTTCCAAGTAGTTTTCGCTGTGTGCTCAAGATATTATATTCCCAGGGCCCGATCCACCGAGTATTGCCTGGTTTTTACCAGGTATGGCCCTACCATTTCATTGAGCTTTTGGGGCTGGATGAAATGACAGGGAGAAGCCCACGGAGCGTGTGCGTGTACTTTTCCGGTGCGCAACGGTTACATCATGTATTTTACAGGCATAAATTAAAAAAGGGCCCGATACAAGAGGCGCGAGCCGGCCATTTGCCCAGAGCGGCAAAAATTTGGGGCGTCAAAATTGACTTAGGGTCAGCCGCAAAGTACGTCACTAAAGGGCGGTAAAAATCTTTTTTTTCTAGATCGGGCCCTGTATATTCCACCTTATTTCTTTGAAATAAGAGCCAGATAAAAAAATGGTTGCCTGTAAAGTCGGTTTTACGGGCGAAGATTTTACGTGACAACGTCTTTTTCTCGGTAGAATATTTATTGATATGAATATAATTAAATTGCACAATAGGAACAAGGAATTGAATGAAAATAAGAATTGCACAAATTTTAACTATAGAAATATATTTTGTTTACTAAAACATTGTACATGTAAACTTAAACTTAACACGAGAGACTCATCGTAACGTTACCGAGCGTTACACTTTTTCATAAGTGACTCCCAGCCGCAACCTAATTTAAGACGTTGTCACGTCAAAATGCGTTCTTTCATTCCAACCCATCAGGAAGCGTTAGTATTCGCCGGACGCGAGCTCGAGATTCAGTTCCGCATGTCGCGACCCCTGGCCGACTTCATGGCGACGCTGCACAAGAATGGTGTGGACGAGAAACGACTCTCCAAGTATGTGCAGCAGAACGTCTCTGACGACATCGTCTCGTTCTACATCACGTTCCCTGAGGAAGGTGAGTTTTCTGGTTTGTTGATAAAATTCGAGGTAGAAATGGAAACCAAATAGCTGTTTTGAAAACATCGATATCGATAATTGCAAACCTTCGATGTCTTTCTTAGTGTTACTTCTTCGATATAAGTATTTAAAGTCATTTTGTACCGTAATATTTATATTTTTTTGCAAAAACAAAAATAAAATATAGTGTGTGCAATTGCCATGATCACGTAGTAACTAACAGTAGATAACAGTAACAGTCATGGCGGTTACAACAGTACCGAAATATCGGAGACTCATAAAAAACAAGGTACACGGTAACAATCATATTAATAGCTATAATGTTAGTGACCATGAAAGTTTAAAATAATATATATTTTATTATATGCAACTTGGTACTGAATATGCAACACAACATGATAAATTACAGCGCGAGTGAGCTGCCATCAATGGCATAGTAAACAGCATGTTAGATCTGCGATCGTGGAAATTAAGCAACTTTTTCAATGCTGGTCATAGAATAGGTGACTAAAAATGAATTATTTCGAGCTTATTCGTAACACATTAAGCTGTTGGTCGCGATTGCATTTGTGTTTTTAACATCCATCTATCTGTACTGAACTCGCCAGTCCTGTTAACCCTATTCCCTTCATAACGAAGGCCTATGCCCCAGTATTGGAATATTAATAGACTGATGATAGGAAATCGCAGCTTGTTTCCATATATTATAAGAACAAATATGTAATCCAAAATCAGATCAGGTATTGAGCAATAATCTTAACCTTGTTGCCAGGTCAATACGGGCTAGACATCTACACAAGAGAGCGAGGGGGACCCACAACCATTCACCAAAACGGCTCCACGGAAAAGGAGAAACATCTTCTAACGCATTGCTGCAAATACCTCATAAACAGCAGCAAGAGAAATTAACCACACGACAATATCATTATAGTCATTGACATAGAAGACATTCTAAATATTTGTTTCTTAGGTTTTCACACACACCACCCATTATATAAAAACATGTTTCAACGGTATAGATGCACTGATTTATTTATTTATGACGTTTCACATCCTTTTCAATTCAACAATTCTGACGACGCAGCCTGAAACGGATGCGAAACGTCATAAATAAATAAATCAGTGCATCTTTACCGTTGCAACTTGTTTTATTTAATATACTAAGTAATCATTTATCAAGTGATCTGAGAAAAAGATGCCTTTTGCCTTAGTTAGAAGTTCACCAGCTCTTTTTCTTACACTGCAAGAGGTCTAACCAGTCGAAACAGGCTTTTGATCTCTCACTCTTATCATGTCTTTACCTTTCTTATGAATATCAACTATCAATATAAGAGACAACTCACAGAGCAAATAATTTTATTTACCAAGTGGTTTAAGTACATTTTAGATCCGTTGCAATAAAACATACTGACAGAAGAAATGGGGCGCCAAAATGTAGCCGTAGTGTTAATGTATGTTTTAAAGGTACATAAACGTCATAAAATAAAATGTAATATATTTTACCTACATTTAAGTTAGCACATAGCAGAAATAATTATTTTTAATGTGTCGAATGTTTGTGTGTTAATCCAAGATCCAGATGATTGTGTGCAGTCTTCCAACACACTGCCAAAACGAAATATACCTTAATATCCGTGTGATTGTGGCGAGAATCGGTTGTACTTCGATATTAAATATAAACACCCAATTGTAGATAAATAAAGATATTCTAAGTTAAATAAAATCCGTCCAATAAGTTGTAATGTTTATTATAATTTATACCTAATGTTGTCTTAATCTACTAACTGTCATTGTAAATTTATATTGACAGATATTATAATAATATTTTTAAGTAAGAGAGGTTGTGTAGATGCAATAAAATTGCTATTTTAGATAAGCATATTGCTTTATTTCGTTATTTTGTATAAACGTTTGACATTAACACTGTTTTTATTCTATTAATTTGAAAATTACATAATTTTAGAAATTATAAAGACAATTTAAAGCTATGAAAATTTTATATGACTCTCAAATAATCAAAAATGAGTTTACAATTGTTTTAATTAACATGGATTTTGATTGACGATATATGAACACATTTAAATGTACCTTATAAAAAAATTATTTACGAAGTCGTTGTTTTTTTTAATAATTATAATTACTGCCTCGAAGAACGTCTAATTGGTATGTTTGTATCCAATTTTCATAGCTTTTTATTAAACATACAATGTTCATAGAAAATAAAATAAATTTACGTTTTCATACGCTTAAAAATTAAAATAGTATAGATTGCCCTATTTTATTACCACAGTTTATAAATGACACACGCACAAAATGATAATATAAATAGTAATTTATCATTTTAAGAATAGATATAAATGTAATCGCTTGGTGCTGTACCACATCGGAACATAAGTACATGACATTTATATAAAATAAAGATGTATGTCTTATTCTATAAGTTTATATACCTTTGCTAGCAATGCGTGTATTTAGAAAAAAACATCTTATTTTCAGTACGGTAGAAGCGATATTAGGTTGTACTTCAAAGACATCAAATGATACAGGAATTCTTATACCTAAAGAATAACAATAAAATAGCCAAAAATAGCAGACAATTCATTCTTGGTTTCAGTGAAATAAATATGACAAAAGTAGATTAAATTTAAGTTATATTCCGATGAGGTATAATGCACTTAACACCTACTTTATAACTTACTTTGTAATGAGAAGTGGCAATATAATAATTTGTAAATTTTATAAAAATATATGGCATGTTATTTTTCTAAAAGTACTTTTTATTTCAGATCTAAACGTTACCACGTAACCTAAAGTCATTTCCTTCTATTACAGCACCTTACATTACTAGGACGGCATTTTATTATATTCTCATAAGTTCATAATATACAAAATAAAGTGTGCAATTTATCTATATATTTTTTCACAAACATCGAAACATTTTGTATAAAAATCATGTTCTCAATTTCGTTTTCAAAACGGAGCTAGTCAAAAGCTAATATCATTATGAATCACATTTGATAAACTTATATTAATATTGAAATCTTAAAATTGCCTCTAAAAAATAAGGTTACTCCTAAAACACAACCAAGAAAAACACATAAAAATATATTTATTATTAAAGAGTCAATATTTGCATCACAGCAAAAAGGAAACATGAATGAAATTTAATGGATTCACACAAACATGTAAGAAAATATAAAAAAAAACACATAATATTGAGCATAAAATCAACAACAACGAAAATCAATCAAGATTCCGGAGGCGACTGGAGATCAGCTGGCACCTAATAAAGTTATTTTTATTCCTTCCACAATCCCTTTCACTTCATCACTATCAATATTCATGTTAAACATAGAATATGCCAACAACTGGTTCTTTAATTTTCATACTTTCCAATTGTTTAAAATTTTATAGCGCAGAGTAGGGACTTTTAAGCGCGGACTTTTTTGTTCTTTTCGAAATAGATCGCTTACACAACTTTTTAAATGTACCACGTACAAACAGTACCCCGAACAACCGAGGACGCCGGGACTGGAGACCGGACAGGACAAAAGTACGGGGATGTGCCCGATAAAAAATTGAACTCATTTTACTAGGCGCAGTGACGCGAACTACAATCCGCGTTGAGTGCTGGATTTAAAAACTAATTTTTTTCTTAAATTTCATATTAGTAACAACACAACGTTATCTGTTATTATTACATTTCGGGGGACAAATGTTCGCACATCGTGTGCGTGGAGTGAAAAAAGTCCCCAGCGGATTTTTTTTTTACTATTCAGGGACTTTTGTCCTCCGCGGACCATCACCATTAAGATCGCGAAAAAGACAGATAGCCAGCCCCCACTCTGGTAAGAACATAAATGTTATCTTACATACTAAAACTTGTTACAGATTTATTGATATAATAATTATGCTAAAATTTAAAGCTTAAATTATACATTATTATTAATGTAAATTTCTCTCTATGAAACTAAAAACTTGACCTATAAAGGATTGCCGTAGAAAATAATAAGCATAGTATCTTTTTGTTTGTACTTAATTCGATTTGAGCTTTCAACAGTCGATTTTGAACTGAAAAAAAATCATTCTAGCCGCAAAGGTGAGAAGTTTTGTTTCTGGTTAACGCACATTATGGTGGGCCGCAGCGCAGCGCAAATTTTTTACATAGCACATTAATGACCCTTTTTTTTAAGTTTTATGGCCGTGAATTTCTCCATTTCCGCCCATTAGTGACACTTAGAACATTAGTGACGTGCCGAATCGCAGCGCATTGATTGTAAGATGCTTACGGTTGCCAATGAGCATGCGCGATTAGAGAGAGAATGCTAGCGGTCTCTCATCTTCTTTCTATTAGAGGGACACTTCCACTTGAAGTAGAGTATATCTCCCCTACTCTATTCTTATACCTCTATGGTACTGCCAGACTTCCGTATAATTGTTTGCACTTCAATCCGCCTGCTATATTTCAGGGCAGGCCGCATCACATCAAGCAAAATCCGCGGCGGAATATGCTGCGCGGCATAGTGTCCGATAGATCATATCAAATACATACGAGCTTTTTGAGTGATATAATAGCAATATAATGTGCGCAATCCTTAAACTAAATGAGTTACAATACTCCTAAATAATGAGTTACTGTGTGGGGTGGTGGTGAAAGGGGAAAACATCAGTACCCTTAGCACGAAGCAATATCGAATTCGAATAGTTTGCGAGTGCGAAATGTCATTGTCAAATTTTGCATGGAAACTTGAACAGCAACGCCAAAACGGACGTAACGAGAAGTAAAAATCAGTACATATTTGTCAGTCTTAAAAGTAAACACTAACGAGCTGTGGCATAATCGCCCCTAATCACAACAAGCTAACTATACTATTTGTGGGTATATGTATTTGAAATACTTAGTTCTGAGCATGATTTAGGGCCAATACTTTTAAGTACTCTAATCTTAGTCATGTACACAGTCACTTGAACACTTGTTATTGCAGATTATTATAAATTTTTATTTTAACCATTTAACTGAAATAGATGTTTAAGTAAAAGAAAATTTTGAGAGAAAAAATTGTACTCGGTCTAGATTTTGATCCCATCTGAAACCTGGACAGCATTTTCTCTAGTTATATTTTCTTTACATTGAACTATTTATTGCAATTTCTTTTTAATGGAATTTTTTTCGTGACAAACAACACAATATTTTTAACATAAAGTAAAAAGGATTTTATATTTTTTTATATATGAGAAATACGCTTTTCTCTGTTTGGAATGAGTAATTATTAGAAGCAGTTAGAAAGCTACTTAGTTGTTTAGTTCAGCTTAGCTCATGAGTTTAATTAAGTAATATTAGCTTGTAAAAATTTGTTATGTCTATGACTCAACCGTAAATGCGTTTGATTTATAATTTCGAAAATAAATTCATCCTATGTCATGGATTATCTTTGGAGACTTTGTCTACTTTAATTCCTTTAAAATACATTTTTTTCACCAGTAGAAAGCTTTTTGTTTCTGAAGAACATAAGCTATAAATATTATCACTTTAAAATAAATTTAATCTTTTCATCTAACTTCGATAATGTAAATATACTGACATGCTGTTTGAACTGCAGTTTAAGTTGGCGAGCAAGCTCTTTAAGGTAATAATTGTTTGAAATTCATCTCAACAAATTAAAGGAACTCAATGAAGTACCAAAACCGAGTACACGCAATTTTTGACCTAAAAGTAACACAACAAATCTCACTATTCGGTCCTGTATATGTATCCATATGATTTTTCAAGCAGAAAGTATGTATCAAACGAGACCTTTAGTGGTATTAAGGGTGGCACGTTGTTCTACACCTCTTATCAAAGTGCCTAGTAGGCCTTCCATCTCGTTGGCTGTTTCCCGGAGCTGGGTGTTGTCGAAACACGAATCTAGAAAAAGTGCACATACTTTAGTACTTACAGTAAAAAAGATGAAATGCAGCTGACAATGAACATAAGTAAGATACAACAAACAAAATATTATAATAAAGTGACCATATTGAAAAAATAACATTTTACAGAAACCAGATGAACTGACGATAAAAATAAACCAACTAAAATCAAGCTGTTGCCACAGCCAGTCATAAGTTCTATCATTATAAAATTTACAATTGTAATTTACAATTATAAGATTATTAAGTTAAGAATGTTACTAACAAAACTATAATCACATTAACATTAAGAAAATCATGCAAATTCTCACCGTCCACAGCGAAGTTATTTGTCAAGATCTGTTGCAACCGATCGAGGACAGTGTCCAAATCTGCATTCAATTCTTTCATCTTGTCATTACTGGACGCCATACTGCGAATATCCGCGGCATACTTCTTCTCAGTGGCTGATATAGACTGGTTTGTATCTTGCTTACACAAGAGATCATGGGTCTTATTTCCTGAAGGATTGTTCTCTAAAAACAAGTATGTTGTACAATTTGTACACCTTTAATGAGAATTAGTTTTAACTAATACTCCTGCACTTTAGTGCACTTTAGTGCAGGAGAAAAAGATCAGAGAGAGATAACTTCCGAGATATATTGTAAACAAAGTTACAGTTAAGGTGTAGGCTATTCTTGTCTCTAATGTGTGTTAATTAGTTCGCATTTCTAATTGCACTGTCTTTAAATTCATAAATAAAGAAATAATATTTTATTATTACGAAAATATGACACACTAGGTAAACGCGGGTCATTGACTCGGCAATTGTACATATGTAAAGGACATTGTTCAGCGTCCATACATAGTTAGCCTAAGAACCAACAATCATGAAATATTATTTTCTAGGTTCAGAATCGTAAGTTAATAACTGTAAAAACAAAGATTATTGACGGACACTTCTGAGAACTTAAATTATTAGGAAAACTAAATTTTTTTTGTGGTTATGTTTAATATTCAATGAAACATAGGTCAACCTATGAATTTAGTATGAACTCAGTATGAAGTGAATTAATATTACAACTAATTCATTTTATTCGGTGTGATTTTAAAGAATAACTATTAGGAAAAACTTGGTTTTGCTTTTTATTTATTGACTATTTTTTCACATAATTGTATCATATTGTTTATTGTATTTAATTGCATATCACATGTATATTGTGTAAATATGCAGCGTGAATGTGTATAAGGTGTTCTTGAATAATTTGGGAGTATGATCCTCTTAGGATGTTGTGGCACAGGTTCACTAGCACTTGGTAATAAGGACTCTGCTCTTTGGTAACATCGATGGCACATTAGATAGCAGAACTAGTTAAATAAAATGGAATGAAAAGTCATTTATTCAGTCTAGGCTGTTACAAGCACTTGTGAAGGTCAAGAAGCTTCGCCATCGGTTCGCAAAACTACGGCGGGAGACCTTGTACTGAGAAGAAGCGGCAAGAAACTCAGCAAGGGCTGCTTTTTTCTCCCTGTATTGATATATACAGAGTCGTCAAGTTGAAAAATGACTTCAGAGATACTTCTGAAGTCACCTTCCATTACATTATTTAGGATATAGATATATAGTTACAATAAATTTTATATTTAGTGTATAGGAAGCGGCATTAGATAGGTACCATATTACTGTTACAAAAACTAACTCATACCCATCAAATAACAAATTACAAGAAACACTATGGCCATGCATTACGATCATTTAGATAATCATTAACTTTATAATAGCCCTTATTCATAAGAGAATTCTTGATCTGAGATTTAAATTTGGTTAGTGGAAGCTCAATCAGATCTTGGGGAACTTTGTTAAACAATGCAATACTACATCCCAGAAATGAACCTCTTGATTTTTGGAGTCTGAAACATGGAACGGCAAGCTTGTTTTTAAATCTCGTGTTAAAGTTATGGGTTTGACTTTTTTTTGCAAATGCGTCATAGTTTTTTCTTACATATATTATATTTTCATAAATGTATTGCGATGCCAGTGTTAAAGGAAAAACAATCGTAAATAAACACACACAACAGGTAATCCGAAACGAGATTACGAGAATGCACTTTCCGGTCATGGACTTATAAAAAAAGGCGGACAGAGTCCCGGTAAACAATAAACTGTGTCGCTCAGAGTCGGCCAGGTCGACGTTACAAGCCGGCACGCACACATTCACACAATAGTCAGCCACTACGCGTGCAAACGTCAAAGCAGCCGACACGTGACGTGGAGATAAAAAATAAGCTAAACAAGATATCTTGCTTGTAAAAAGGTGTAAAATCCGTAGTGACCGAAAGAAAAAAAAATCCAGGAATCACGTTTCATAGGTAAATGAATAATTGAATCACTTTTTTCTAGTTTTTAGAAATCGAAATCAATTTTAATTCTAAGAACAAAATGATTAGTCTAAAGCCCAGTGTTGTCAATGTTCATGTAACCATATTACCTAAAATATGGGAAATTGGGTTGACATTAACTTCAATGTATTATTTATTATTCTTTTTTATCAGATTTCCTAAATACTAAAAAAATACTAATACTAAAATGTAGTATGGAGAAATTACTGGAAAATGAATGATTTCCAAACAAATATGTAGTAGTGTCATTTTTAGTCTTCATTTTGAAGCTCAAGACTTATATACAACTAAAGGAGGACTCCGGCGTGTTATTACGTATGCATTACCTCAAAAGGTTGATTAAAATTTTTAACCGACTTCGAAAAAAAGAGGTTCGCAATGCGTCATATTTGTTTTTTTTTTTATTGTTGTTCGCGCAGATCTCCGAGATTCGTGGACCGTTTATGATGATTCTTTTTTTGTTTTAATCAGTTTACTAGAGAGATGGCTGCATATTAATTTACTAGAGATCTGATGAGTACTTTCGGAGGAAAACAATGGAACTCCTCAATTACAAACAGTACTCAATGGGTGTTAGTTTTATTTTAAGAAATATGAAAGAGAATGCAGGCCAGGCCATGTATATTTAGTTGATTTACCCAATATTGAGAAAATTTGATACATTCTAGAATTTCTAATGAGTCCCGACTGTTAAAGTAACTTTGTTCCTTATTAAACAGAATTCTAGTGGACTTGTTTTTTTCTTTTTAGTACATTTTTTTTATTTTTGACATTTTAATTCCATTATTTTTTAATTACACGAGTTGAATATTTTCTAAATATTCTTTTAAAACCCTTCACTTTGATACCTCGCTTGACGGGTTATAAAAATACTTATACTTTTTTTCAAAATGTTTCATTTTGGCGCATAAAATCTGTTATTTTGATTTTTTGAAATTTTAATATACTGAGTGCCACTCACACAATCACGACAAATCAAATGACACCTCGCATGTCAAAATCCGCCAAGACGTTCAGGCTGTAGGGCGTGCCAAATTATTGGACATACATACATACATGCATATATACGCTCGAAAAACATTATCCTCCGCAGTCGGGCAAAAAGTAAAATTTTGAACAATCAAAATATTTTCATGTTTTTACTGTGTTTTATTGGTAAAAAATTGGCTAACCTAGCAAACCTACAATTCACTCACTCATCAATAGCCGCCGCCATTACGGTGCCTCAGTATTGTCTTAGCCGAAACTCTGTCCGCCTTTTTTTATACGTCCATGTTTCCGGTATATTAATCTACTCTTTGGAATGCACGAAAGCCACAGATTACTACGAATGCAAACTGCATGCACCACAACCACAGAGTAACGAGTTTTATGCCGGCCCTTCACTTGACAACAGTTTGTCCTTGTCATGCTTAATAAGGAATGAAAAGGACAGACTGATGTCATGTTTTAAAATGGCAAATACGAATAGCCAAGTGAAGTGCCGGCATTAGGAAGAAAGAGTGTTTTGTTTGCAGCGCTGCCATAGATTATACACATAAAATGGTATTTATTGTCTCAGATTAATTTTAATTTAGCTTACTTAACTGGAAGTGTCCGTCACAATCTAAATACTGATAATTATCACAAAAAATATACTAAGAATTATCATAAATACCAAATTGGTGTTGGTTCTTAGGCTAATTTTAACATTGTCCTTTCGCAAGACATTTCATCAGTTTTGGAGCTCTCAATATTATTTGCTGCACATAGACATCAACCAACTTTTAAGTTTCATAAATTAAGAGTTATATTTTATTGATGTCTAAGCCGTAAGAAAGAGGTTTTTAGAGCTGCTAATGCTTATATGTTACGATAAACATAGGAAGCTATATTTAAGACTAGCCTAGTCTAAAAAAAACGAGTGTGCTTATGACCACACGACTGAAGTGAAACTTCTTTAGCTCCATCTGAAAGAGAAGAAGAAAATGTGCGCGCGCACTGCTTTCTCTTACTTATATCCCCTACTCAACTCCCGTTCGCCTCGCAGGAACACACTTTTCGTAACTCGTAACGCATTCGTCAACTTACACCCCAAGTCAAGCGTGCGTAAAAAAGTTTCACTTCAAAAAGAACTACTTTATATCCTCCACAAACATAAAATAATTATTTTGAATAATTATGACAAAACTACACAAAAAATATTTAAAGGTGAATTTATCCGGGTCGAAGGACCAATCAAAGCACGTGATCATTTACGTGGAATCGATTTAAATCTACTTTTTACAGTGAATGAAGTGGAAAGTGTCTATAAAAAGAACATCTCGTTGTAATAATCTGTAAGGACGCAAACAGAAAAAAATCTTAAACATTAAAACTTCATATTTTGCATACTCACCAGTGTACCAATGGCTAATATCATTCATAGACACCGTAGATATGCTGTCAGTGTTAGAATGCCCCACGACAGGTTTCAAAGCATCTCCTGACATAGTCAACAAGTTCTGACTGTCAGTCTGTTTAGACACTACTGAAAAGTTACCCGAGTCCAAACTTAAGACCCGGGGTTTAGATTTCATGCTTTCTGTGACCTTTGATTGCTTTTCCTCCAACACTGGTATAGGACTGAAGAGATCAAAAGCTTGAGGTCGTTCAACTTTCTCTTGTTTGTGTGTTTCAGTGTCAAGGATTTGCGAGCTTGATGATAAGTTGTCCTAAAATTCAATTAAGAATATTTAAATGGGTTTTGTTTACATGATACTTTTACTTTTACACTAACCATGATATTTATAAACAAGTAAAAAATTATACGTTATTTACAGGATTGTTATCATGTACCTTGTTTTTAGCGAGTTAACTGAATAGTTACTCCGTGGTCATGGCGCTTGCAACAGTGCCGAAATATCGGAAACAATCCCGTAAATAACGTTTATTACTATCGTTTATATCTATAATGTTACTGACCATTAAGTTTAAAAAATGTTACTTAAGTAATTACTTTTATTACATACTTAAGAAATTAATCAAACAATCAAAGTAAGAACTATAAGAAATGAGAATTTTTATACGTCGTGCCACGAATCTAAAATGCCGTAGCAAGCTATTCTGTTTCTCTCGCACGTTACTTAAGACTGGATGTGCGAGAGGGACAGAATGTCATCGTTTTCGGATTTTGTTGCGATTCATTTTTTTTATTGGCGCTAGTTATAACCAAGTCACCATTTTCGTTGCTAAATATCTATTAATTTGTTTAAATGGAGAATTCTAGTATCAAACAATGACTTGGTTTCTCTCTTACAACAACAAACAATTACTTAAATAAAATGATTTTTGCGGGTTATATGCACTGAATTTATTTGTCTGATGTTTCGCAGCCTTTGCAGGACTGCGCCTTCAGATATAATGATTTTTTATTTGCTAGCTCGACAAAGTAAATAAAATATTTTAATGGGTGGTTTTATTTAATGGGTGATGCGCGTGAAAACCTAAGAAACAAATAAGCAATTACTTATTTATAAATACTTGTATGGAAATTGATCCTCCCAAATCCAGGACTCTAGTAGGGCTATATTAATACATACCTTCAGTACTTTAAGCCTATTGATCTGAGTCGATATTTGTGTCCAGTGTGTGTCAACTTTTCTCATCAGTCCGTTTTCTTCCTGATCTTTTGCTGTACCATGTAATTGGTTAGACAAATCTTTTAAGGCCCTAGAATATCAATCTTTACTTTATATATCAGTTAAATACTCATAATACAATTGAATAAGGCATATAATGATTCAAATATGTATAAATGATTTTAGAATATGAATGTAAATTTGCGTTGCCAGGCGTCAGAATAAAGCCAGACATAGTTAGGCTTTTTTATTGCGTGTCTGGCCAAAATACTTAAAAACAAAATACTAATAATAATTATAGGATACAAGGATAACGGATAGAATACATATATTGTACATATTTATGTAGAAAAACATATTAAACATCCATGACTGGAGTACAAATGCTCGTATTCATCACACAAACATCTGCCCCCACCGGGATTCGAACCCGGGACCTCTTGAATCGGCGACACCATGAACGCGGCGTATAAACCACTCGGCCACGGGGGTCGTCAATAAACGGTGTCCGGCTTGTTCGGTCAATATTAACACTGTCCGGCTTTTTACATTTCACAAACGAGCGAGCGCCGAGTGTGCTCGGCAAGCGATTTGACTGTAGGTCGGTTTTACATACGATTTTTTGGTGTAAATAAAATAACTGAGCCACAAAATCCTTAATAACTGTAGGGTGAATGGCTTTTTTACCCCAAGGTCCGGCTAAACTGGCTGGTCTGTCTGGCTTAGGTTTGGCAACCTGGCAACCCTAAATATGATTGAAATGTAGCTGTAATGACTCGAGGTTTCTTAATATCCTTTATAGTTAAATTGATAGATAGATTGATAATGGATCCACCCAGATCGCGGAAGGGAGCTTTTAGGTTTTAACCCTTTCCAAGACCTGGACTGGACCAAGCTTTTGGATTATTTTTCTAATAAAATATACTCTTTAGATTCATAAATCAATTAGTTTAACGCTTAAAATAGAATATACAATAAATCCTCTTTATCATGTATCATATGTGTATCATATGCCGCAAATATACTTAGTAGAAAATAAGAGAGAAATCTGGTTTTTTCTAAACAGATTTCTTCTTTACGTACTTATTTTGCGTTTCCAACTGCATGATAATGTCTTGCAACATAGTAGCCGGACTATTATTAACACAATTCCCTGAAGCTTTTCCTACAGTCGAAGTAAACATAGCAGGTTTGCCGTCACTCTTTCTTCTGACAGTACCGTGATTTTCGACCTTATCCGTACTTTTCTTAGAGCACTTTTTTGCCATTTTACGCTTCTTCGTTCGCGTACAAAAGAAGAATCTCTTCATACCCTTCATAAAACTTAGACATTCACCGAGCTTAATCTGAAGTAGAGATTAATGCAAAATTTTCTTTTTTCGAGAAGTCTCATGACATTATAATAGCAATACAAAAATATATATATAAAAAGGAATAGACGTTAACCTACCTCTCCATCAACAATTTCATTAATTAAATGAGTCTTCTTATGACCCCTAACAGAGGTCAAGTCTTTGTCATACAGATAGCACTTCTCACAAAAATATATATTGACACATTTAGAGCATTTGAATTTTAACATCTGAAACAAAAATATATTATAATATATGTATAATAGTTAGTTGCAACATTTAAAAATGCAGTAGTTCTGAGAAAAAAAAGACAAAAGCCTATTTTAAAAAATATGTTAACAATAAAGAACCATTGCTTTTATGTTATTTATTGAAGTGGTATATTATTCATTGGTATTTAACTATCTTTATAAAAATACAACATGGCATAATTATAGTTAGCTTGCAATCTTCTATACAATAATAAAAATACAATTATGATACAACAATCGCCGGCAGAGACATCAATTACAGTTAAAATTCCAGAAATGTGTGTGGAGACAGGAGTTTCACACAATAAGGTTTATTTTTATTAATCGACTAGCGGCCGCCCGCGACTTCGTACGCGTGGAGTTAGTTAATATTGTGGCGGCGACATCTATATGCCCCGCATATAACTAACATGGAGGAAATAGTCACTCGCCTCCTTAAGAGATGGCGCTACCGGCGCTGCGTTCACAACGTATGGAAGCCTACATCGCACAAGAGAAATTCGGAGCCAAACACTTTATATATACGATGCCCGACCAACACCAGTTGGGCCGCGGCCCCCGAGCTAACATCATCAAGCTCGTAGGAAGAGCTTCCCCTTTGGCCTTCCTACATTATATCCAAAAAGTGCTTACACATGTAAATCAACTTGATGTTTTTTGAAATCTCACAGATGGCGCTGCTTTAAGATCGTTTATTATTATGTTTATCGGCCTAAGTTACTTATAGTGTGAAGGTAGCTTATAGCATGGTTAACATGATAATAACATTCAAATATGCGTCGTTAGATTACACGTTGTTACAGAATGCGTTGAAGAAATAAAGGTTCACTGCTCATTCCCCGTAGGTAATAGATGAATATGTAGCCAATATGTTGACCCGACTTCTTAATAATATTCGTGCCAAATTAGAAGTAAATTCATGCAGTACTTTTTGAGTTTATCCCGGACACATACAGACACACAGACAAAAATTCAAAAAACTATATTTTTGGCTTTGGTATTGATTGGAGATCACACCCAAAGTATTCTTTTCAAAAAAATTTCATTGTACAGTTTTGACATTCCTACCATTTTATTATATGTATAGACGATACCTGTACAATGGGTTGCGTGCAAGAAGCACAGGATACATTAGTATTTGCGGAGCTCCTACTGGCATTTATTCTCTGCATCACTGACAACCATCGAGTGCTCGAACTACACTGTACTCCCCACTCGGCCACACTGCGGGCACTTACACCGAGCATACCAGCGTTCTGTAACAAAAATTTAATGTAATTATTGGTAGTGGCATGGTTTTGTGTAAATGTTGAAGAGTTTTTTGCAGCTTCTTTTAAGAGCTTAAAGATCTGTCTGAGTTCTTGGAGACTAATTAAATTTCAATAAAGTACCATTTCTATTCATCTATATTTCTAATCAATAGAAGATACCTCTTAATGAAGTTTTAACTTATTGATAAATACACCTAAAACAGTAGTTTATATAGTTAGCATCATCCCTCCTTAGGGGTAATCCTTTCTGAATAAAAGTCGGCATAAAAGCTTAGCTTGGTAGAGACTTCCCCAGGTGGATTATAGTTGATAAAAGGTAAGTCTGATAAAACACTGCAACTGGCCTTAGGGTGTGTATTGAACATTTTTAAGTCCTACATGATATTTATTAGTTATAATTGAAACTTGTTAAAGGCACAATATAATTCATAATACATAGATGAGAATTTTGATTTTGATCAAATCTTATTCTTGCTCACGTTTTAAATCTTAGTGGTAAAACCAAAATTATTGTAAAATTACACATGCTTAAGTTATATTACATACAGGAATTTCAATTAAATTTAATTTAAAATAACATTTTAAGTTTAATTTACCATAACAATGATAAAAAGTACATAAAATAATTTGTTATGCTTTAATCGTGTTTCAATGACTTTTAGCCTATCCGCTTTTGAAGGCCAATTACAACAAAAATAGGCTGATTAAGTACATTTTTTTTTATGATTTTTGGTAGTTTAGAAGCATGCGGAGTTTTTAATTTTAGCTAGAAGCTATGGAAACTCCTTTTTTGTATTTTTAAATTGAAGTTGAATATTTGAGTAAATCCTACTAAAAACTAAAGTTCCAACTTTCAAGCCTTTCTTGAGTAACTTTAAGTAATTTCAGGAAGCTGAGTTATTTTTTTTATTAAAACAACATTCAAGACAATTATGTCACAAAAAAAAGACTGCGTACGTACGTAGACGTACTATTTTAGTACATATTTTACGAGAAAATATATGAATTTTTGAAACCTCGCTGGCAGAAATCTTTAAAAATACACAAAAATAATTATAACTCGAAAACTAAGAAAAATCGTGGAATGTACATGGGGTATTTGGGTAGGTGCAAGGAATGTAAAAAAAAATGTTGACGTCACTAATTGGACCATCCTGTATACAGGGTTAATTTTAAAACACCAACAACCTCTTAGGGGGTGATTCTACCCATCAACAGGAACAAGTTTTATTATGGGACCTTACATTTTGGTTGATTAGCTGATACACTTTTGTATGAAACTGCTGATTTTTTCACGATTTCAGCGTTGGTCCCATAATAAAAATTGCTCCTGTTGATGGGTAGAATCACCCCCTAAGAGGTTGTTGGTATTTAAAAATTAACCCTGTATATAAAAATAACAAAATATATTTATATCAGTATGAAACCTCTGGCCACTCAACCAGTAATTAATGAAATCTACCTTGTCAAAGCAGCTGTTAACATCAGACTGCAAGTGTTCAGTAGAACTTCCAAAGTACTGTGATAATGCAGTAACATTAGTGAGCAGAGCAGATAGTCGACGTGGTGACACACAACCATTGTGGTCTGCACAGCAGTTCGCTAGTGCCACCCATTTATCACTAGCAGACTCTTCGCTTAGAATTATTATGAGTGTCTTAGCTGCTAGGACTCTGATTGGCTCTTTTCTGTCCCTGTAAAATGTTTTTAATAAACACACTTTATTTTGAATAAGTATCTAAATGACTTATTCTTGATGTTTTCACATACATTAAACATTGAATAAATATGTAATTTTTTGAGCACATGTACAGAGCAATTAGCACACACCATGAATCAAGTCAATAAATAGATTAGAAAAATTATTGTGTAGCTAGACTCAAGGTAATAAAAATTAATTTAAAAAATTCAATCTACATCACATCATCACTCCTTGTATTTGTGTTATATCGAATATATAAATAATGTTGGGTTCTTATATATTTACTGGTTGTAAAGGCTATCTAAGATTACTCAATAAATCAGGATTAAAATCAATATGAGCAAGACATACAATACAGTAAGTCATAGAGTTCTTTTGTAGAAATTCTATGGCATGGGCGTGTGTGGAATGGCATATGACTGGTTTGCATCATATTTGAAGGAGTGAATGCAGTCTGTTGAAGTGAACCATTACAAAATTTAGGAAAATTATTTAAAACATATTACCAATATTTACACCAACTTTAACAGATAATTCAATTGAATTACCTTGGGCTACTTTGGTATGTGTGCTAATACTCATCTAAAATAATGATTTGCCAAAAGATTTATTCAAAATGATAGCATCCTTTATGCTGATGACATAAAGATGGTTTTTTCATCGGTTGGCTATAGTGACTTTAAAGAAAAATTAGATCCTACATAAAGACATTGTGTCCCTGGTTGAAAAATCATAATTTAGAGCTAATATTTAAAACTAAAACAATACACTTTCACTGACATCAGAAAAACCTATTAGACATCAAATATACATTCAGCTCTAATACTTTAGGCCGTATACAGAAAGAAAGCTGTAAGCTGACCAGCATAGAAACGCCTGCACCAGTTACCTGCGTGAACCGGTTCCTATAAGCGCAGGTGGGCAACCAGCTTTCTTTCTGTATACAGCCTTAGAAACTGTTAATCAATGTTAAGTTTTAGGAGGCCATATAGATACTTGCTTTACATGGAAATCATAAGTCAAAGTAATCTCTGGAAAATTCAAAAAATTGTAAAAAAAAAACGGGACCTTAAAAAAGTTATTAGTACAAATTAAGCCTACACACATGTATGGTTAAGTTATGCAATAATTTTGTGGGGCAATAGCACTGATGCCCAGAAGATATTTATTCTGCAGAAGAGGTGTATATCTTGGTTGATATTAGAAACACAGAAAGCTGTAGACCACATTTTAAAAATTGAGAGCATTAACACTGCTCTCACTCATATGTTTTCGAAATATTTAAACTTAAAATAAAAAAAGTTATTGGAGCAGGTACGAGGGCGGTTTGATAAGTCCATGACTTTGGAAAGAAGAAACACTCTTTTTACATATTGAATCTAGGAAACAATTTTTTATGATTATTGGAATTTATGCCAAACATGTATGGAAGCTGAGCAATCTGCTTTAAAAACTTAAGAGTGAAATATTACACCATTAACTTTATTTGTATTTTTTGAATTGTTGGTGTACTTTCAGAAGGCACACAACGGCATTTTAATACACCTTTCTCACAAAAATGCCTGCAGTATTTTAATCACCAACGTCAAACTGTCACTATATTCAGATGAGCACTGATTAGACAAGTCATGATGATACACTACTTAGCCTATTTGAGTGCTGTCAGCTTTCATAGCGGTCAAACTCTGGTAAAGGCATATCTAACGATTGAAATCTTTGCATATCACTATCATTATTAATTAATTATATACAATTTCAAAACTTACTTGTCATATACATTCAGAAGTAGATTTATCAATAAATCCACTGTCAAATCAACATCCCCATCAAACAGGCCTTCCTTTTCAGCAGCAAAATAAATGTCACCAAGAACTGCTTCAAGCTCTGCTGTGTCAAGTGACAAACTAGTTTCAGAAAGGCTGAGCTGGTGTCTGGCAAACACTCCAGCACTAATGCGTAAAGGTGGCACTGTAGGAAATTTCCTTTCATTATTATTATTACTGTTATCAGGTAGGCAGTTGAAATAACTGATTAATGCCTGCATCTTATACCCGCCATACACACTACGATAAATCGTTACGATTAGACTGTACAGTCCGAACGGTACCGATAAATCGTAGCGTGTCTGTTATGAAACTGCACAGTTTCCTATACTAAACGAAATCGTATAAACTGTACCGTTCGAACTGTACAGTCTGATCATAACAATTTCTCGTAGTGTGTATGGCGGGTTTTACTGTCATATATTTTATTTTCTCTTGTGAAGATACTTGAGCGGTGTTAAGCAGAAATCGAACAGCAGGCATTTGTGAAGCTAGCCAAAATGAGTTTTGTGGACCAATGTTAAAGTATGACTGTAAAAACAGAAAGCCACCCTTGGTAATTTTTGGGATCAAACAGATTCAAATTTAACATAGGTTCGTAGAACAAATTTTCGCTTGCTTCAAGAATGGCTGCTGGTTCATTTTCTACTTTACAATGCTCTATTATCAAATAATAGTTTCTAGTGAACAACAAAAAGAAATCACAAACTATTGTAATTGTAAGTAACTTTTTGAAACGAAAATAATGGAATTTATTATATATTTGGGATTTAATATCTAAGCACATACCCCTTAACTGCTTTTGCAGTCCAGTCATTTTGAAAGCTATTTTGTAAACATTGTATTTAATGCCGCCAAAGTCTTCAAGTGACTGTAAAATCTTAAGAAATTGCGGGTGATCATATTGCTGTTTACCAGTTGTATCTCTGAAATCAAAATAGGCTACAGTGAGATAAATAAAATATAACTAGGTACCTACTAACTTTACAATGGAACTAAATATCACAATAACTAAATAAACAATATTCAGTAATTTGTTCGGTACGTTTAATAACCAGATTAAAGTCGTGGTGTACGTTTAATAGAGAACTTAGTCAAAGGTACAAAACTAAACTTTTACTCACTCAATGTAACATGGGTAGCCGACCTCATTTTCTACTTTCCTCCAGTTCGTTAGAGCCATTGTTTTAAATACTTAACTTAAAAACAAAGATAAATTCTTCAATACTTGTCTAATTCATCTCATTATGTAAAATACTAAAAAAACATTACTTTCACCAGACAAGCAATAACAAAATGCAAAAAAAATAATAACTGCCATACATAAATTTAAAAAAATCTAATACTAATTTAATGCAGTCTGTGGCCTATGCTCAGGTCGCGTTCCGATTTACACTCTGAATGCAACAGAAGCTTCATAGAAAATACTGCTCTTACTTTAGGCACACAACCTCTCACACAACCTTTACAACTTTAATAAATACCCTAGATACACCACGTACGCTCAAAATGTGTCCCTATCAAGAAGTGGTTGAACACCACTAAAGCACTTCTTGATTCACAGTCACGTGAAAAGTCAGCATGCCGCAGAGCTCCGTGAAAAATACGAAATAAATACTTACAGTGCTTACAGTTTGTCTATAAAGTCGTGACATGAATGTTTGAGGAACTAACATTATTCATGTGTCTGGCAACACCAAACATAAGTACATCACCTATCATCGAGTTTCAGTTGTGGAACAGTTTTCCTTTTGTATTTTTTATTGTTTGGATTAAACTGTAATAAATTAAGACGAAACTACGCAGAAAGGTATAAAAATGAGTAAAGTATTTTAAAGTTTTCCAGCGATGTTTCGAAGACTACCAAGCTGGACGAATTTTGTGGGATTTGGATGATGTTTATGGCCGAACAGCATCTATGACGGGAATGTAATCGTGTAACTATTTGTTTGTAATCTGCCTGAAGTTACAAATTTACTCAATTTACGATTAGAGACCAAAAAAGGCATTGTTTACATTGCACATTTTTAGGTTAGATTGACATTGTAAATAGGTAATATTGTAGTACGACCATTTCTTTTGATACGTTATTATGGTTCAAATCGGTCAGGTTTTCTACCAATTTTGAATTAATTGCTTCATGTTTTTTTACCTTTTTTCAGGAAAATCAGAGAGTCGGATAGTCAACGAAGGTTTTAAGAATGATGGAAAGTTTAAAACTCCTGGGAAAACAGGCAAGTCCGACCAAAGAAAGAAATGGTCACATAAAGAACCATGGCCAGATGATGCTTTTAGTGAAGATACCTATCACTAATTTTACTAACTGCACATTTACAAATTGTTTCTCTAAATAAACTTTTTATTTATATACTATAAAATGATTTTAAGTATTATTTTCTTATTGTTAAAAAACGTCGTATGATGATACTTGCGTGTATTGATGATTACCTAACGGCTCTGGTCTCAATGGCACCTCAGCGGTAATCACCAACATTACACACTTTTACACTATAAAGTACTATTTTAACTATAATAATTTTATTCTGATTCAATTAAATATGTTTGGCTAAACTTTTTATAAGTATAGGTACCTACTATATTTAAAACAGAAACAAAATACGACTGTATAGTGTGTCTTATTAATTACCTATTTTACTTAAATTAACTGCTAGTATCAAATTCATTTTGGTCCGACTGTATAGGGTTGCTACATGCACACTAGTGGCGCCATCATTTAATGTCACGACTTTATAGACAAACTTGTACTTTGGGGCTAGACTAATTGGTGTGAGTGTTGGAAATATTTATTTATTTATTTAATTAACGCATTTTAAGCAATTTAATTTCATACTGACTATAAACTGATTTTAAAGAAAATATTTGTGGTATTGAAATGCATGGTCGGTAATATAGCCGTCTCTTTTCCTCGCGGTCCGTACCTGCTATTTTGTTAACAACACATTCAGAATTGCGCGTAGAATCAAATAAATAAGGTCTAGTGAAAAAAAAACTTATATTAATTATCAATATTTGCTATTGTTTGTTTAAAAATGTTTGTATTTATTCTAGAATCAGCGGAGTGCTAAAAAAGTGTTCCGAGATTTTTTTGCAAACCGTACTTTTCAAGCGACATGTGACAGATGAAGGTCATTGGCTTTCCTATTCTTAATTGAATCGCATTATATGTACCCACGTTATTATCACGGATACATGATACAGCCCCCGCATGAGCTCCGCGCTATGATATATAACGCGTTTTTATCACGTTCTTATTGTCAAATGTCACGTGATAAAAAAAACGTGTTTTAATCTAAATTGTGGTGCTTAAGCTACGGGGACTGGAATGAATAAAATTTACCTTGTTATTTTTACATTAAAGTTAGTTAAAACTTAAAGTAAAAACGCTATATTTAGCAATATTGGTGCCAATTCTGGCGTGATTCTCTAAACTTAAAATTAAATTTAAAATCAGTCTCTCCTTTTCATTCTGTATAGAGAATGACAAGGATATACTGCTGTCAAATTTAAGTTTAGGTTTAGAGAATCATGCTAGAATCGACACCATTATTTTTTGCGGCATATTTAAAGAATAGATGTTTATTTTTATTTTATTTATTTGTGTAACAGAAAATTTATCTACCCAGTGTCTAGACATCTAGTATTTGTAATAAAATGACTTCGAATATTTAGATCCTTGCGAAAATTACTTCTTTGTACTTATGTTACCTTTTTTCATCGCGGTACTAAAAATTATTTTAAAGAATACTGATACAATATTATAATGATTCAAAGATACTTGTTAAAATGTCTGTCCATGTTAAATGAAACTCTCATACAAAGTGTGTATTGCCCTTTGGTACACATACGTAAGCGTATTGCATCGTCAAAGTTTGAAAATTAAGCAGTGTGACGTAACCGACGTAACAACAAACTGGCTAATGGCTCCGTCCATACAGAAAAAAACGATGACGATACCAATATGCAGCTGTGAAAATTCGCGCTTGGAGTATTATAAATTATAGGGATTTCTATTTAAATTAACATTATTTTATGTTATATATTAAAAGGAAAACACAAAATTTATAGGGAAATATGAGATTAACTATTGGTGTCAATTCTGGCAGGATTCTCTAAACTTAAAACTAAATTTGACATCAGTATGTCCTTTTCAGTCTGTATAGAGAATGACAGAGATACACTGTTGTCAAATTTAAGTTTAGGTTTAGAGAATCATGCCAGAATTGATACCATTAAATAATTAAACGAGAAACCAAGATCCTTTCCTTTCGCGAGCCTGCTGGAAGTTGGGGCTTAGAGCAATAGAGGGTGTCAGGGTGGTCAAGGCGAAGGAACCCCTCGACTTCATTTCACACACACCGCGGAACGTTAAACTAACTCGTGACAACGTGACATGCCATCACACTTTTTCGTGCATGCAGCTGGTGTTATCGATTTATTTGACAACATTGTCAATATTTTTCAGTAAAACACTGAACTTTATTAATTTATTTCTTTATCAATAGCAAAGTTATCATCATCCCAGAAAGGAAACAGTGGCAAATGGCCTCTGTAGTGTGTTTTTCACTCGAATCCTTTTTTCGGTTACAATTATTAGTCTTATCGGTTAAGTCCCAGTTCTGTTGAAAATCCATTGGAATTTGATAGGAAAACACAGACGGAGGTTAAAAATTTATATTTGTAAAATGACAAATTAAAATTTAACTAAACGTGAACTAAACGCATTCCAGGCTTTATTATCAAACAGCAGGTTTTCACTGTTCCTTTTGATAGAAAACTGTTCGACTGACCAATAAGAATCAATGGTCGGATGTTTACATATTATATTGACCAATCACAGTTAAGTAAAGTTTTGTAGTTTGGGCTACCATTTTCTCTTTGTAAAGGAGACGCCATTTTGCAAGCGTCACTTGGCGGCGTGTGCGGTTTCACTATTTTTGCCAAGAAGTTTTAACGCAAATCATAATATTGATTTGTTTTAGTGTAATATGTCGTATCAGTCTAGTGTAGCGCAAGATTCATTAGCTGCGGCGCAATTAGAAATGTCCGGTAACCCCAATGCATTGGCTTTACGTCGGCCATTCGACCCGGTGGCCCACGATTTGGAAGCGAGTTTTCGGTTGACAAGATTTGCTGATCTGAAAGGAAGAAGTTGTAAAGTCCCTCAGGATGTGTTGGGAAAACTGGTGGAATCGTTACAACAGGACTACTCTCAACAAGATGATCAGTTCATGCATGTAGCGATACCGCGAATTGGCATCGGCCTGGATTGTTCGGTGACGCCGCTGAGACACGGTGGTCTATGTTTGGTACAAACCACTGACTTCTTCTACCCTTTAGTAGATGATCCTTACATGATGGGTAAAATTGCATGTGCCAATGTCTTGAGTGATTTGTATGCCATGGGTGTGACTGATTGCGACAATATGTTGATGCTACTTGGAGTGTCTACGAAAATGACAGAGAAAGAGCGCGATGTTGTTATTCCTCTGATTATGAGAGGATTCAAAGACTCTGCTTTAGAAGCAGGTACTTCTGTAACTGGTGGACAAACAGTGATCAATCCGTGGTGCACTATTGGAGGGGTTGCTACCACTATTTGCCAACCTAACGAGTATATAGTGCCTGATAATGCTGTAATGGGAGATGTGTTGGTTTTGACAAAACCTTTGGGTACTCAAGTTGCAGTAAATGCACATCAATGGCTAGACCAACCTGAGCGCTGGAATCGCATCAAGTTGGTGGTTTCAGAGGAAGATGTACGCAAAGCCTATCATCGTGCAATGGACTCCATGAGTAGATTGAATCGTATTGCAGCTCGTTTGATGCATAAATACAATGCACATGGTTCAACTGATGTGACTGGATTTGGTCTTCTTGGACATGCACAAAACTTAGCATCACACCAAAAGAATGAAGTTTCTTTTGTCATACATAATTTGCCTGTGATTGCCAAAATGGCAGCAGTGGCGAAAGCATGTGGGAATATGTTTCAACTGCTTCAAGGACATGCTCCAGAGACATCTGGAGGACTACTCATCTGCTTGCCTCGTGAACAAGCAGCTGCATATTGCAAAGACATTGAAAAACAAGAAGGTTATCAAGCCTGGATCATTGGTATTGTGGAAAAGGGCAACCGCACTGCTCGTATCATTGATAAGCCACGAGTGATTGAAGTTCCCGCAAAAGATTAAAAAGTTTTAATTCTTGGAGAATTGTAATAACAATACTTAAATTTTTAACTATGACATCATAACTGGACAAATATTGCAAATTAGATTTCAACAATTATTTTTAAGGTTCTCTTAGTTTCGTTTTAAAGTTTTATTTTGGCAGGTCACTGTTCTGTATGATAATAACAAACAGTTGAATAGTTTTATTGATTGATAAGAAAGCATATAGAGAACTATGTCTAGTGATTTTGGTGTTTATATTTAGTTAAGATATCACTAATAAAATTAAGAGAACAATTCCATTAGGTACACATAATCCTAAAATTCATTTGCAGCTTGTGAACTGTTTCTGCAAATTATGAGATAAGTATAATTATTAGAATAAAGTTATTTTTCAGTCAAATGGTTGTTTCTATTCAACTTAACTGGAAAGTAAATAAATTAATCCTATAAAAAAAATCTGCTGAACTCCAAAAATCCTTCCTCTTTAACTCCATAACAGTTTTAATAAGTTAATACTTCTATGTGTAAATTAATTTCTGGAATCATTTTGGAGTTGAACTGTAATCAATAAATGAGTAATAAAATTTTGAAAATGTTTTGGCATTGGGTGGAATAATACTAAGAGCTATTTACAGAATGAATTTTATAAGATTATGGTATGCAATAAAAACCTCATTATTGTTATTCTTAATTTATTCATAAATTGGATTTGAAGCTAACAAAATTGTCCAATTTCAAACTTCAAATATGAAAAAAATATGCCTATTTATGAGTTTATAAAATGCACTTTATACCACAGTTACTGCTTGTCAAGCATTGATGAATGCTTGTGTACTAACTTCTAAGAAAACTATGGTTTTACTGAAGAAAATATTAAATTTATGTTAATGCTTAGAAGTCTTAAAAAATAATGGGAAGAATAATGATATGTAGTAAGAATTTCAATCAAAAGTTTAGCAATCTGTTGTGTAATCTTCTACAATAATGTGCATAACATAGTGGGCATTTTCAAAGAAATTCCAAGGAGTCTTGCAAAATTTTCTCACAATTATCCACTTGCTAAATAAACATAAATTACACTATCTAAAATAATGAACTACTAACTTATAAGAAACTGCATAAATTGAGGCACTGCACCAGTGAAAAAATTTGAAATCATACATTTAGTTGTTTATAGACAGATAAAAGAAAGAAAATCTAATACATGTGTATGCAATGTGATTGTAAAGCTAACTATAATAGGGAACAATTACACTAAACTGTGATCAACTACTTAATTATGTAGTAATGGTATAAAGATTCAGTAGGAATTCCAAGATGGCACATTGTCAATAAAGTTTGGAAATCATAATAATTGATTTGATATATTAAAACTGCCATCACTGTAGAGTCTATAACTGAAGCACAATCTATGTGGTGCAACCAAAAAGTTTCAGTTGAGACAAGGTTTCTTGCGGGGTCTGCTGTCATCACCACTCTGCTCTATATGGCTCTGATCCCGTTTCTTTGGAGAACTGTTATTCTGCAAGAAAACAACACTGATGTTACTTATTTATATTCAGAAAACAATTTGAATTCATTTTTAATGTCCTATCACTTTTTATGAAAAAATCTACAGTATAACAACTTTTCAACCTTTTAATAAAAACACTCTTTAGATATATAGTAACACTATTGAGAACAAAACTAATATTACTAAAATTACTACAACCAACCTGAAGTTATGTGAGAGTGCATAATAAAATAAACATCAAATGATGAGTTATGAGATATTTTACTTACCTTTTTTTCCCACTGTTGATGTAGATATCTTAATAGTATGTTTGTCTTTTCTGTCACAATAACTGCAAATAAAAAATTGAATTGTAAAAATTTGTTGTTTAAATAGAATGTCTATTAAGTAATGTATATGTATACAACAGGTTTTATGTTGACATGACAAATATTCATAATGCACTCCAATCAGAAATTCACCATGAACGAAGAAACACGGTGTCAAGGTAATCGCTCACAATAATGAAACAATTATACTCAACTTTGATCAGAAGGAATATCTTTAGTTTGGAGGTATATCGAAGGCCGTTTCGAGCAATTTCTGATTCCGTGGTCTGTATTGAATAGTGTAAAGTTGTGTTCGTCATACGACGGCAGGTCCTTTAGAAATTCCATCACCGACTGTTGAAAAATATATGCGTAATATTGAAATGAACAAGTAGAAAGGCTGCCATCACAAGGACTAAACATGGTCCAGTTGATATGACACGGGTATAAACATCCAACACCTTAAATACTCACCATTGTCAATAATACTACTTTATATTTTCAGTAAATTGAATAAAAATTCAATGGTAATACAGAGATTAAATTATAAAAAAATAATCTCATACAACAGAACACAAACGAAACCAATCGCCCACCCAGCCAGATGTGAATGACATTGACACAAACGACATTAGTTTTTTTAAATTTATTGGCAATGACTACAAAGTCTTTATAATCATTAAGCTGGTATATCACATGGCTATTCGCATTTGTTAATGCTAGAGACAGCAGCACCTCACGCACAAGACGGCAATGACCACGGCCAGTGGCCGCAATGACCAGCTTAACTACAGAAACCATACAGATGTCGCGCACTAGGCTGCAACGGCCAACTTAAGTTAATCGGGTCGTTGTGGTCACTGGTCGTGGTCATCTAGTGCTGGACGCAAGGGCGGATCCAGAGGGGGGTCATGGGGGTCATGACCCCCCCCTGGGCTGGGTTCATCTGTACCCACTTCACAATCTGTACTTCACAATCTGTACCCACTTGACCACTACTATATGACCCCCCCCCCCCCCCCCTGGCGCCAAAGCTGGATCCGCCCTTGGCTGGAGGTGCCTTACATTTATTTGAGCAACGTGCAATCTCGCCATTTGACATACCTATCCCTGATTTGGGCCTTTTAATACGCAGCTAAATAATAAAGAGAATGCTTAAACTACTTAAAACTTGAAGTTAGATTTATAAAATGTGTCAAATGCTCCATAAAACATAGGTACATATATTAGTTTACCATTCGCTTAAATAAATTTATTAAAAGCTGTACGTGTTGTTATTAATACTCCTTTACATGTATGAGAAGATTATTAAAAAAATCGTTCATGGCGCCAAATTACAAAAATCTATGGTACATTGGAAAAAAATATCAAATTTTAAAAAATAACGCCTTTTGTAGGTAAATTTAAAAATGTTTAATTTAGTTACTTCAAATTTCAATAAATCCTACAACCCAAATGGAAAGCAAAATGCTTTAACTGATATCAAAAGACTTCTAACGTCTCGACATACTGAAGCTCAAAATAAAGCGTGCGGTTACTTAGTAGAAGTTGTTAGTCGATATAATAAAATCTCTAAGGAAAGATCTCGCATGGTGGAATATTTACTGGATAACGATATAACGGTATTTCTATGCGAGGCAACATCTAATTTGGATTATTCTCTTTTTAGGTTTGTAATAGTTCATATTAAAAAAAATCGATGGGTTGTACTCCGGGCGTGCCGGCAGAAGTGAAAACTTGAATATTAACGTTGTGCATTTTTGACATTTTGGTACCCTGTGGTGGATCACGGCCCAATCTAAAATCTTCCATTCATAAGAGAAGATCTGTGTCCCGTAGTGAGGACATCAAAATTGCTTATAACGATTGCAAAGATATTTTGCAGGTCTGTCTTATCATGCCTGCGTCTTCTGTGGATGGAACGCCGGTTCTTCTTTGAGGAGCACGCGTCGCACTCGATGGCGGCAGTACTAAGGGCCCTGGCACACTACGCGGGCAGCGGCTTGCACGCCGCCGTGGAGTTGTGCCTGCATTTCTTATGTGATTTATTCGACGGGTGAGAATTGTTAAACTATTATTATAGTGACGTGATTTTTCTACAGTGCTCTGTAGTTGTAAGTCTTGTAAGTGATGGACTTTTTAGTAGTAATAATAAAAAAAACCGGCCAACTGCGAGTCGGACTCTCACTTGGCCGGTTTTACCGTTTATTTGACCTTCAATTGAAATGTCGATCTTATTTGTTAAATAATTGAAATTTAACAAGACTACCCCAATCCCAAGTTATTAGTCGTATTTATATCTAATTTCAATAGAAAAATTTCCACGCGAACCAGGCATCAGACGGGACTCAAACCCGCACCCTCCGCTATCCTGGATGTGGATGTACTGATCATAATGGACCGCGGCTCTTATTTTCCGTGCCGAATTTTCTCTAGTATTTCATAAGCTGCAAGTCAGCGCCGTCGCTTCGCATTGTAGGCAGCTCATAATGACAAACGAATACTTTTACAAGTATTAAACATTTAAAAGAAGAAATAACTAAGATTATTTATTTTAGCTTATTTCCATATTTGCAGCATCAGCACATTCGAAACCATTTCACCTTTATCGTATCAAAGCGCTTATTGCATAGAGCAGCTGCTAGCCAGTCTGAACGTTCTAGCTTCCTGTCTCAAGACCAACCCCAATGGTGTGCTATCCAGCGCTTTAGTGCTGCATGCTCTAGTTTCATACCAACCAGAGAACTTAGAGCTTAAGGGCAGAACAGCAGTCGCCTTAGTTGAGGTCATACAGAACTGGTTCACTTTGATCATGGGTGTATTGAATCATTCCGTGCTCATGGGAGATAAAGATATCTCCGGTATGTCTTACATCGTCGTGTGCCAGTTGGGTGCGGATGTATTAAGGTGAGAGACTTTGGCAGTATAATCTTAGTAGGCATTAAATAAATCTTATTCAGTTTCCAGCTGTAAAACATATAGAAATTTTTGTTCACGTCACTTCCGAGTTTTGTAGAGTATTTTAAAAGGTCTACTAGGTACAAGTAGTTTTTTTTTTAGTCTTTATTAGTGTCGCCGCACACGGGCCACATGCCACAGCCACAAACGCCGCCACGAGAAGCTAGAAGCGGCTACTAAAGTGGCTGAAGCGTGCTACAGCGGCCGACTAAGGCAAGGGAGAGAGGGATGGGGAATCGCGCGACGTGTGGCGGCGCGGCGTTTTGTATCGACGCATTAAGTGGCCGGTGCGGACCAAAAGAAGCGAGCAACGACGATTTGTAGCGCGTGGTGGCCACCGGCGTACCATGTGTGGCGAGTCTATATAAAGTGTATGAAAACTACATGAAATATGCCGGTGGCGGCGTTCTGTGGTTGTGGTCGGTGGCCCTTGTGCGGCGACACTAAACGGTTTTGGATCAATATGCATTTCTAAAGGAATGATTCACTGCGACCAAAAATATGTTTACTTAAAAACTTAGTTTACCTAAAAGTAAATAGTAAAGAAGCTATTTGCATCCCATGTATTTCTTTATGTATAAAATTCGAAACTGTTCTTCTTTGAAGGCCTACTTAGTCTAGACGCGGTAAAGTCCCTCAACGGGGATCACGCGGTTCCATACTTACATAACAGCGTTGAGGGTATTCGCAAGGTTTTTTAGCGGATAGTATGCCATAAGCGCTCGTAAAAGCGCCTACTGGCATGCTTGCCGCAGGGACAATCTAGGGTGCACGGAGGTCGGGCCAATGTCGGCTTGTCTCTACACACATGCCTGCTATTCAGTGTTCGGGCGTATGTTGAGCTAAACACACGCGTTGATGATGGTCCCAGTGCTATCAAAAAATATGTTACCGTAAAAAAGGAAATACTGGGTGAAGAATTGTTAACAGAAAGAAATGTATTGTAAATAAGTAATGTTTTTGTTATTAGAAAAAATCCACGCGGACCTGGCTGCAGACGGGACTCGAACCCGCACCCTTCGCTATCCGGGCGAATGCACTGATCAATTATGCTACCGGGGCCCTGACGGCCGTATCGAATTCTTACTAGCCTTTCTTAAGCTGCAAGGCAGCGCCATCTCTTCGCATTATATGTAACCCACAATGTCAAATGAATACCTTTACAAGCATTAGAAATTTAAAAGAAGGAATAGCAATTAAAGACATCATTTTATGCTCAATGTTTGAATCTAAAGAAAATATTACAAGAAAAATAAAATAAAAAAAAACTATGTATTTCTAATATTCTAGTAATATTTTCTTTAGATTTAAAATCGAGCAGTCACATACATAAAAAATGAAAATTAATTAAAAATATATAAATAATGTTTGATTTTTTTATCCCACATGGGGCCGGTCTTTATATACTTCGATCACTCGTGTACAAACTTCACGCTCATTATGATCTGCCGCCATCTTGATCAAAATACGTGCGCTGCGTGTGACAGCTACTAATCGACTGATTGAGAAATTGCCCCAATCGCGCTACACACGCGGCAACGTGCAGGGCAGTAGGGACAATCTAGGAAGCAAGGGTTGTCGCGCGCTTCTGCCGCCTTTTTTTTTATAACGCAGGTAAAAAATATTTTTACAGACGACGGCGCCTTTAAGAGGCACACCGCCGAACGGACCTCACACCTGCCTCCCGCAAGTCTTACGGACCCCCCAGTGGCGCTTTACAGCATAATATCCGCTAAAAAAGTCCTGTGAATACCTCTACACTGCTTAGTGCGGAGCCGCAGGGTCCCCGTTAGGGATTCTACCACGGCCCCACCCCCAGCAGCTTCCCGGCCTCGCCGGGGCTCCACGGCAGGGGTCTCCCGCGGTATTTCGGGGACCCTGCAGACGCGCAGGTAGGCCCGCGCGTGGGGGCTGGGTACGCGGCCTACTGCCCACCATACCGCCCCCCATCCGCTGCGGAGGGGACTCCTGGGCGTACCCGTCCAAGAACCCTCCGCCGCCCCCTCTTTGTAGGGCAAAACTACAAGTGGGGGGGCTGCCGTTCCTGGGAGGGGGGAACGGGAGGGGAAGCGTAATTCTTCCCGTCCCTCTCCCCCCTCCCGGTCGCCCACGTCTCCCCGCGTCTTCTCCTAGGAGAAGAGGGGGGAAAGGCGGGTGACAGCATTCGTGGGAGGTCCGAGCGGCCGAGGCTACTCGGACACCCCCCCCCCTCCGAGGGCGTCCGTCCGGGCGCCCCTCAGAGGGCCCTTTCTCGGGAGGTTTTCCCTTCGTGGCCGGCGGGTCACACCTCCCCTTCCCCATTACGTGGTCGGCCGGCAGACCACTCTCCTTACATATGGCGCAGCAGGGCTCGGCAGCGCATTCCGCCGCCTTGTGTCCCTGCTGCCCACACCGGAAGCACGCCTGGCTTCGGTCGTGCTCAGATGGGCACTGTCGGCAGGTGTGCCCCCTGCCCATGCACCTGAAGCAGCGCATAGGAAGGGGGCCCGGCAGTCGCACCTGTGCGGCGCACCAGTCCACCTGGAGCATGCCGCCAACCACCACTTTCTTTGCGATACCAATTGGGCACCGCACTACCATTAGCCCCATGCCCCCCGGGCCGGGACGCAGCTCCGAAGCTGTCACCAGATTGGTGACTCTTACTCGACACCGCCTCGATGACATCCGCCATCGTTGCGGAGTCTTCGAGGCCAGACACCCGTAGGCCCGCCATCTTCTCCGGCCTTCCCACTTCAGCGAGCCCCGCCACCGCTTCTCAAAGGCGCGCTGCTAGGACGTCGGCCTTCGTCCCACTGTCAGGCCCAGGAACCAGCAGCAGCTTGTCCTCGGTCTGACTCGCCTTGATGGTCAGGCCACCCGCTATACCGACGTCAGACAAGGAGATATCAGTCCTTGCATTCTCCATCACCTTCTGGAGGGTGATGCCCTTCTTTGCGGCCTCCGCTGTTAGCTTCAGCGTGATGGCCGGAGTCGTCGGAGTCTTCAGCTTCGGAGGGGGGCGCTGTCGATTTCCCCGCCCTTTTCCACCCACCTTGGCCGACTCCTACTGCGTGTCTTGTGTCGACACTGCGGCAGGTGCCGGAGTCCTCCTTCTCTTGCCTTTTCGGACCACCACACTCCAGGACTCCTGTGAGTCCGCGGCCACCACCCCAGTCGGCTGGGTTGCCGGCTTCCTCTTTTGTGTCTCCACCCGGGTAGGCTCTGGAGCCTGACCCCTAGGCGGCAACCTTCCCTCTATGGAGGCCAGCCGAGTGTTGGCCATCTTGCTTATAGACGATATAAGCGAGCCCTTCAACTCCTCGACGGCCTCCTTCCACCCCGATCCGCTAACCGCGCCCTCGTTCATCCTGTCGTGGATGGCCCGCATCTCCCCGCGCAGCACCTCCACCTCCTTCGCCAGGGCGGCGTTCTCCATGCGGAGCTCCACCGCTTTGGCAGCCGCGTCCTCCATCCTCTCTCGGTAGAGCGCCCTTTCCTCGCGGTACCGGCGGGCTCTCCCTTTCCTCCTCGGCTTTCTTGAATATAGGCTCAAGTTGGTTTTCCAGCGCTATGATTAGGTCTAACATTGACGACCTCCGTGGCCGAGTGGTTTGTACGCCGGGTTTCATGGCGTCGCCGACTCGAGAGGTCCCGGGTTCGAATCCCGGTGGGGGCAGATATTTGTGTGATGAACACGAGCATTTGTACTCCAGTCATGGATGTTTAAATATGTATTTCTATATAAATATACTTATATATGTAAAGTATGTGTATTCTATCCGTTACCCTAGTATCCCATAACACAAGCCTTATAGTGCTTACTTTGGGGCTAGGCTAATTGGTGTGAGTGTTGGAAATATTTATTTATTATTATTTATTTAACATACCTCGCTTGCTCCGCTCCTCCAACAAGCCCGAGGCATAATAGACCATGTCCGACAGCCTACTCAACTCTTTCTGGGTGTCGCTGCTTACGTCTCGCCAAAAGCAAGCGCCATCTATCTCCTCCTCGTCTATGGACGAAGGTTTCGCCTTATCCTTGAATTTTGGCCTAATTGATGCCGCCGCCTTTCTCTTGCCCCTACGGGCCGTGTTCACCTTGGCGGGGAAGGGCGCTACCTCTCCGCCCTCATCCGCTCCGCCTCTAAGTCTCAAAACACCTCCTAACGCCTCGGTAGCCAATTTAACACCAGGGGTACCGGAATCCCCCTGGCGCCGGTGGCCAACCGGAGCGCATAGGCCGCTGCTAACAAATTTAAAACCCTGGGTAGATGCTTCCCCAGGGCGCCCGGTGTCAGCGGGATCGCAGGACAAACGCATAACATTGTCCGACATATTCATACAAAAGGTCCCACTTCCGGACGAGGGAACCCTACCTGGCCTCGTCAAAAGGTAATTTTTGAAAAGGTTTTCTTACTTGCAGCCCCCGTCCCGAAGGACTGCGGGCCCCGGCCCCACACCACGTGTGGGGTTACGGGTTGGCCGGAAGCGACGCGGAGTTCGCGCCGTAACCGCCCTCACCAATGGCGTTTCCGCCTCAACCTATAGAGTCTCGACCACCGCTACCCGGGCTACCCAGGGCGCCGGCCGAAAGACCCCTCGGGTGATTTTTTAGACAGGTTGTGTTCCTCGCAGCCCCCGCCTCCAAAGGAAACAGTTCCTTTGCAGACGGCGGCCCTCAGCCCCGCACTATGTGCAGGGTTACGAGCTTGACTCGACTGCCGCTACCCGGGATACCCAGGGCGCCAGCCGAGACCACCACCGGGTAATTTTTTAGAGAGGTTGTCTTCCTCGCAGCCCCCGCCTCCAAAGGAAACAGTTCCTTTGCAGACGGCGGCCCGACCCGACTGCCGCTACCCGGGATACCCAGGACGCCAGCCAGGTCACCACAGCTGGGTATGGTCCACACCGGCCGAAGCCGGTACCTCCCATCCGCCACCCGAGAGGACGCGCCTGATAGCAGACCCAGCTACACTGCCACGGGGCGCTGCTGCCGCCCTGCCGCAGGCCCGATTTAGAAAATTGCCCCAACTTGCCTACACACATCACAATTCAGGAGGCAATTTAGGGTCATCTCCACTCTTACACCCTAGATTGTCCCTGCGGAGTGCGGCAGGCATGTCAGTAGGTGCTTTCGCGCAGACTGCTTAACGGCTCCTCCGTTTCGCACCCGTGAGACTTGCGAGAGGCTAGGTGTGAGGTTTGTTCGTTGTTGCCCCAACGTCTGTCAATAGAGGTTTTGCCTGCATTATTAGAAAAAGGCCTACTTAGTACCTACAAATGTAGCTTCTATATCCCTTTAGATGTGTAGTGAGTCTCCCGAACTGGGTTTTGATTTCAGACTGATCAAATTATTGCTTCGCAGTGAACATAAAACTGATTTCGTTCAAGCCATTTTAACGGACAGCCATGAGATAGATTTGCTGAAGGAGAGCGCTTACGAAATGCGGAAGTCCATACGGAACATAATTTTAGAGCTAGTGGTTTTTACTAAGGTAAAATCGTGGTAAAATATATATAAAATATTTTTGGAAGGACAATAAATAATAGGGGCGTTGACTAACTATTTTTCTTCGTCTATCAAGCAGATTATCAAAAAGTTAAAGACACGTATTTTTTTTAACATTAATCGAAACATCACAGAGATATTGATTTGAAATATCACATGATGTCAGGTCTTGGTACAATTTGTACTTAGCAGTGATGTAACGTCATTTTTTGGTTGTATGACGAAAGAAAAAAATTAATAGTTATAATTTATTTAATTTTTTAAGCATTTACCTGCTAGATTTAAAACCGAAAGAAAATTTTATTAGAAAAAAATACATGCGGATCAGGCAGCAGACGGGTACTCGAACCCACACCCTCCGCTATCCGGGCGGATGAACTGATCATTATGCTACCGCGGCACTTATGGCCGTGTCGAATCTTCTCTAGTATTTCTTAGGATGCAAGGCAGCGCCATCTCTTCTCATTGTAGGCAACTCACACTGTCAAATGAATTCCCTAACACGTATTAAACATTTGAATGAAGAAATAGCAATTATTATTTAAGTTATACTAAAAAAAAATTAAGCCTAATTTTAATCTCGAGCTTCTCCGTGCTTCGGAAGGCACGTTAAACCGTTGGTCATTCGCACCCACCAATCCGCACTGGGTCGGCGTGGTGTGTCACCGCCTAATCTTCTTCCATTCCATCCATAGGGAAGGCCTGTGCCCCAGCAGTAGCGACATCAATAGGCTATGATGATGATGATGATCATGATGAAATGTATATTAATTTTCATTTCTAAACAGGACTATCAGACCCAAATTTCAACTGAAGAATACAGTGTGTTTTTGAAGTTTCTTCTTTTATATTTACAAGAGAGCGGAAATCGAGAAGTACAATTGGATTTCTGTGACGTTCTTTTCTCCAAAAATTATCTTACGATGTTGCCGCACGCTCAGATAGCTATGTAATTATAATTACTTATTTAATTTTTTGGACTAGGATTTTGTTTAATTCTATATGAATTTTGAAGACAGTGGGAAAGAGTAGGCAGGTAAAGTACTCGTAGTACAATTTGCCCCCATTTCTTCTACAATTTTGATCACTTGAAGTAGCTTTAAGTTCAAAAGATCATATTAAATGCAAATATTTACATTTATATTTATAGATATGTTCAAAGCTCCGGAACTTCTTAGTTTGTGTAGTCAAAACCTAGGTCTAACAATAAGTCTTTGCCAAAGTTCAACCAAAAAGCAGGAAAAGACGGAAAAGTGTGATAAGTCAAAATTGGAGCGAAAGATCGGTTCGATTTAGTAATTGAGATATTACTCCCTGCTACAATCAAACTCACAAACTTTTAATTTCTTTAAGATATAAGAATTTCTTATTCATTACATAGAAACGTTTAGATAACGCCCATAAAGTAATCGCGCAAGTATCTGAACTTAGACTAATTTTGGCAAGTTAGGCTTAAGAGGCTTGTCTCTTACTAGAGGCAGGAATAATATCGCTATCATTTCAACCGAATAGTTTATTGCAGGAACGATTTGTCAGTTCGTAAAATGAGTACGCTGATTCTCGGTGAAATACTGAAATCGTTAGCGGATAAGTATCTCAATATAGACGACTCTGGTGCCGGAAATGATACATACAGTAGAGATATACAGGTAATCATCAAAATGGTGCCGACTAAGTGAAGAAACTTAATAGTGGTGTCAGTTCTGGCGAGATTCTCTAAACCTAAACTTAAGTTTGACAATAGTGTATCCTTGTCATTATCTATAAAAAATGAAAAGGAGAGACTGATTTTAAATTTAGTTTTAAGTCTAGAGAATCATGCCAGAATCGACACCAATGTGAAGGTAAAGTGGGATTCAAACTTACTGGCTGTTGTGAAGTTAACGAGAGTTGCGGCGAAGTAGACGAAATGTAGGAAATAAAAACTGCTAAAAAGAATACTGCGCTAAAAAGTGATTCCACGCAAACTGGGTGCGACGAAAAAAATGCAATCAACACCCGGATCATGGAATTGGTGGGGATTTACATTTAACATTATCTTATCGAATGAATGGATAGTCGGATTCATTTGCAGATTTGATTTGTTATGGCGCGATTACACTTTGTCGTTAGCCCGAATACGAGTGCCAATGGAATTGGAGTAAACGACAAGTGTAAATGAACGGAGTCGAGTACGCCCGTACGAGTATTCGGGTCCTTTTGTTTACCTTCCAGTCCGTATTCCAGTGTAAATATTGATTCGGATGCCCGAATTCGAGTAATGTCTTTTTGCACCCGAATACGGGCTAACGACAAAATGAAATTGCTACATTAAATGATTTTTTTTGTCTGTGTGTTGGTCCATATTTTAGTTTATTTAGGCCTTTGTTAGAATGCTTCTAAATCATTTCTTATTCGTTTATTCGTTAGATGATGTAGGTAAATGTTTGCTGCTAACTTCAAACAACCGCTATAAAGTTTGAATTGCATTCAACGGGGTGCATTCACGATATCATACATTCAATGCCATGATTTTTTTTTACGAAATGAGATGTTAACATCTCAAATACATAATGTCTCCATTAAATATAATAGATGCATTTTTTAATTCAATTTAATACCTACTCCTACATTAGACTTCATGCTATTTCACCAGCTGTCCTATTATTTTATACTGCCGTTTTGGAAAAATGTTCACAAGTGGTTTCTCTTATTAATTATTTACCTATTATGATCACTTACAGATGGGTTTGGTAGAATTGCAATACGGGATAGAAAAACCGCAGAGCGTAGGCTCCTGCCTACAGAAAGGCCAGCCGTATTGTCTTCTCATATACATATACTTCTACTGCCAGTCTACAGAGAAGTATTCGAAATTTATATATTTTATAGCACAGTGTGACCTAAACCCGCACTTTACGCACGCTTTTCCGTGACCTAAGTTGCCTATTTCTGCACGGTGTGTAAATGAATTGACCAACTTGACTCATGTAGAAAAAATAAAAGGAAACACATTTAAATGTCATTAGGAGCTTAAAAACTCACAGCAAACAAATGACAAATTAGCGATAGGTTAGGAATTTTCAGTGATAGCCAAAACAAGGAGAAGGCAACTTAGGTCACGCGTATCGTAATGTACTATATTATTATCTTTTCTTACAGCTTATTAATAAGATCTAAAAAAAATACTAACAGAAAATCCTCACGGTCCAGGCAGCAGACCTGGTCCGCGTGGATTTTTTTCTAGTAAAATTTTCTTAAGATTTATACATCTAGCAGTTAAATTCATAAAAAAAAGGAAATATATAGCTTATTAAAATTTTGCACGTGGCACGACACGCACTTGGCTGGTTTTTTTATTTTTAAAAGTAAAAGTTAGCATTTAATCGAATAGAAAAATGACTGCTTGTCTAAAGCACATAAAATTCCATTACTAACACTAACACAACACGGTCACTTACCATTAGCATTCCAGTCATGGATGTTTTTAATATATTTATGTATATAAATATACTAATTTGTGTATCAGTATATGATTGTATTCTATCAGTTACCCTAGTATCTCACAGCACAAGCCCACAGTGCTTACTTTGGGGCTAGGCTAGGCTAATGAGGATCCGTAAAGATTTTAGTTGAGAAAGCAGATTTATAGAGCTAAGGATTCCAGAAAATACAGTGGTAAAATTTTTGTTCTACGTCAAATATTGACGAAGTTATGACCAAATTACTAAACGATTTTTCGGCTGGCCACGTGGTGCCTGTGACGTCACAGAGATCTAGCGAAAGAACCGATTTCGATGATTTAAAAAGTGTATTAATTAAAAAGCTTATTAGATCATTTTACTCTTGATTTTGAGTTGATTTACTGACCTAGTAATGATCCTCATTGGTGTTAGTGATGGAATAGTAGATTGTTAACCGAGGGTGGAAAGAATCAATTCCCGAGGTATTTAGACGCCCGAGCGCAGCGAGGGCGGCTATAGTCCGAGTAGGAATTGATTCTTTTACCCGAGTTAAACACTGTACTTTTCATTTCGAATATGAGGAAAATAAAACTAGTTGTTTAACAAAAATATTTATTCATAAATAGTTATATATATACCATAAAATTAGAAGTAGCTATTTAAAATTAATTATCATATTAGGACAATTACTGAAATTAAAAGTAACATTCTTGTTTGAAACTATGCTGTTTGATATACTATTACAAATTTGGCTGTTTTGGATATCTGTAAAAGTAGGACACTCTGTTATTTCATCAAACGATGGATTCCATGGCGGATACTCCCTGGAAGTTGTCTGCTGAGGCGAATTGTAGGAGCCTGTAGTTTGCTAGACAGTCCATTAAAATATGTAAGAAATACACTTTCGGAAAACGATTTTATATTCTTCTCTGCTCACCACTTTATAAAATCATTGTATGTATTTATATATCTCTTTTTTAACATTTCTGGCAAAATATTCTCTATAATATAACACAATTTGCCTCGTCTTTAATTGAATCCGGTGTCAACATTTCTGAATCGCTTGAACTCATTTTTAATATTCAAAGTTGGATTGCTCTGTTTTACTTAAAAGATTATTATTACTATTTTTTTATTCCATCACATAACAGATGCATAACAGTTTAGTATCCCGCCAATTTATGTCGACTTTTTAAATTTAATATGGAACAGCGTAATTGTTGCGGCTTATTCCGCTCAAAGAAGTTTGTGCTAAGTTCACACTGGCTGTTTAGAAACTCACATGGCGGCAGCATTTTTTTTTTACAAATAACTTCACGCCTGACAGTAGTTCTATTTTTAAAGTTCATTCCGGCCCTTAGGCGGGAAGTAATTTGTATGAGTTTTTCCCTCTCTAGAGAGGGAAGCAGCATTTTCCACCCAACAAACAGATCAAAACAACACCACTTTCCGAGAATGAGAAATGAAAATGTTTATTTTATTCATTCCGGCCCTGATTAAAGGCAGGAGAAGGAAATAGCTAATTTTGTGTTATTTTTCAACAACAGTCCAGAAGAGAGAATGGCCCAGCTGTTGCCTTATTTGGTAGAGCATGTCCTACGACTTCCCAGGGCTTTCAAGCCACCTTCTTACATCATCAAAGCGTTGTGGCTTGTATTTGCCGTATGTTTATTTGAAAATTATTTTTACATGTGTGTTAAAACACAAGAATATAACAAAGTTATGAGTCGATAGTAGGTCAATCTTAGAACTGGACAAAAAAAGGATTATAGATTTAAGGACATTTAGAGGAAGATTTAGATGTAACTAAAGACATTATCTGCAGAAGCAAAGTAACTGTATTATTTGAAAAATCTGTTATAGTCCTTCGAGCTGGATTTTACAATTTATAGTTTTTATGTAATGATTAAGGTATACCTAGAGGAGCTCGATAAAGTTAAGCAACTTTCGCAATGACTGACATAGGATGGGTGGCTAAAATATTTGTTCTTCTTCTTCTTCTTCTTGCGGCAGACAGACAAGGCTGTTGGTTCCGGCAGCATCTCGTTAGCATCAACCAATAGATATTGAACCTACGGTTGGCTATGGCCTTTTCTTCCTAATCAAAGGCCTGTACCCCAGATTGACGAGATTAAGATGATAATGATTATAAATTTTGTCAAATTTTTGTTAACTTTGTAAATAAGTTTACCTATGATGGCTGTGGCCCAGTAGTTTGTACGCCGGGTTTCATGGTGTCGCCGACTCGTGAGGTCCCGGGTTCGAATCCCGGTGGGGGCAGATATTTGTGTGATGGATACGAGCATTTGTACCCTAGTCATGGATGTTTTATATGTATTTCTATATAAACATACTTATACTATATGTACTGTATATGTATTCTATCCATTGCCCTAGTATCCCATGACAGAGGCCTTACAGTGCTTACTTTGTGCTAGGCTAATTGGTGTGAGTGTTGGAAATATTTATTTATTTATTATTATTTATTTATTGAAAAGGACTTTTTAGCAAACTCAATATTTTTTCGACACAGATGTCTTCTATTTCTAACGGGTCTTTACAATCGTTGGACGAGCGCATTTACGTTGAGAAGGCGACAGATCGTCTAGTGTCCATGCTTTATCCCGACCCTTCTATGTTTTATACACACAACCCCGCCATTTTGTTGTGGTGCTTCACTTCGCAGAGGATCCCTAACTACGTTCGTCTACATGTTGTAAGTAATTAGTACTGAGTGCATATTTAACTGGCTATAGGGGAATGGTTTTTAGAGTTGGAACGGTTTTTACAGTTCTTCTACAATTTCAAAATTTTCAATCATGATTAAAATACCACCTCAACACGAACAGTGCTTAGATGTCTACTACGTGTGTTGTGCGTGATATTAGACTATTAATTTAAAGAGAGTTGTGATGTGATGGAGTTATAACTAATTATTTATTTATGTGACGAGTTTTTAGTACTCCTACTACTTGAGGAGCTCGATGACGCGGGTGGTTAGCGCGTTCGGCTGCGTCTGCTGCGTTCGTTGAAGTTAAGCAACTTTAGTAGTTGGTCGGTCATTGGATGGGTGACCAAGTTCCTCCGTGTTTCGGAAGACACGTTAAGCCATTGGTCCCGGCTGCATCTGCAGTCGTTAGCACCCGCCAATCCGCACTGGGCCTCCGTGGTGGATCATGGCCCAGTCTCCCTATTCCATCCATAGGGAAGGCCTGTGCCCCAGCAGTGGGGACATTAATAGGCTGATGATGATGATCTACCAATCCCTCAAAAGATATGACGTATGAAAGGAGGACGATAGCCATAATAATACAATTCCATGTCAGCACGACTAAACGCCTGAACAAGGTTTAGTATTGTTTGTATTTATAATTCCTTTTCCAGCTATCGCAATGGTTACAAATAGAAGACTCTTTACCTTGCGATTTAACCACTGACCCAGCAGTGTGGGAGTTGCTATTAAACATTTTGATACAAAACAAATATAAATCGGCCATGATGAATTGTAAGGAGGCCCTAGAACAATGCTTGGAGGATGGCAACGAAGAGGATAGACGGAATTTCGCCGGATTGGTTTGGGGAATGTTGCCCAATGTCTTGTCCAAAACTCTCATAGATTACGACTCGGAAATAGGTTTGCGAATTATTTAATATTGTTTGTTTTTAATTTTTTTTTTATTAAAAAAGGTGGCGTGCCAGAAGTGTTTTTTACGGTTATTCAAAAGAAAACACGGACTACTTTGTTGTCAGACCGTCCGGCAAGACCTTTATAGAAACGCGTGCGGTATTAAGCTGAAATTTATATCATATAGGTATTCCATTGTTTCGGGGGATTGCAAATCTGAAATTTTCAAACCGCCTGAAACAATACAAACGCAATCAAAATATTTTTGAGGTGAAAACTTCTTTAGCGGCGTTGTACACTTTTTTGTAATGGGTAAAAACTGTTAAACTCGCGTCAGGACACGTGGCCTGATCGTGTCATGAAACGTGGCCTCATCGCGTCCGGACACGTGACCTAATATAAAAGGTTGTTGACTTTCAATATATTGGACAAAACATAGTAATATTTTATTTCATCGTATTATAATAAGTCTCTAATTAGGACGTCCCGGTGGCAGCTTTATTGCGAAGAAAATACATTTTTTTTACAATAGATACGCTTAAATGTGATTCATGTAAGTTGATTTTTCTAAGAAATAAACTTACTAATGTAATATAAACTGTCATGTTTGTGTACGATAGCGCAAAAAATAAATATTGTATTCTACCACATAAATGATAGTACTTTTATACTGATAATTAAAGCAATTCGTGCAAGATTATTCCCTGAAAATTCCAAAATATCAAAAATGCACAACGTTAATATTCAAGTTTTCACTTCTGCCGGCACTCCCGGAGTGCAACCCGCCGTTTTTTTCTGAATATTTGCGAACCGATGGCGTAGATTTTCGACATTCACAAGTGCTTGTAAAGCCTAGAATGAAAAAAAAATATTGAATTTTGTTTTTTTTTTAATTTAGTCTCCGGCCTGTGAAATATGGTGGATTAGATTCACATCTGGGACGATCTGAGATCTTTCATTTCTAAGATACAGTTGCAACATTTTTTTGCAGATACCAGCATTTGTCCTTTATTAGAATTAGCTACAAGATTGGCCCCTCTGGAAGTAGACCAGACGGTCTGCCTTAAGACAGCTGTACTTATCACGACCATTTTCTCCAAGAATCTAATCCATTCCAATGAGAGTATGGAGTCGAGATTCTATTTCGAATTCGTCTGCTTGAAACTCAGCCTTTATTTACTCGGTTTGGCGAACAACCAAAATGATAATAGAGGTAGGTACTTACCACATGTTTTATCATATTAAATTATTGTAAAATTGTAGTTTATAATCCTACTTCTACTGGAAATACTATTTACCATAAAAAGTCAGAAATGCGTTCAACACGAGCTTAAGAAAACAAACAGGGTTTGAAACCGAGTCTAACATTTTTGTATTAAGACCGGAAATCTTTAATCCCAGTTATACCGGAAACAAAAGTAAAAGAATATTAGATAGTGTGCTCTGAATGACGGACCCTCATGCGCCGCACTACAGTAGTGTGCTCGAATAAATTGTTCCGGATTCTGAACTGAATCGCGGAATCTGTTTGGTTTTGCAATTGGACACCTGTATTAAGTAAGCTATTCAGTTTCATGACTTAGGTCATTTTGCTGTGATTATGTTTTTGATTATGTTTATTTTTTAAAGTTATAAATCGTGACTATTATATTTTATTTTAAAGTATTTAACTGCTAGATGCCTTGCAGCCTAATAAATACGTACTAGGAGAAATTCGACACGGCCATTACGGTCGCGGTGGCATAATTGGTTAATACATTTGTCCAGATAGCGGAGAATTCGGGTTCCAGTCCTTCCTGCTACCTGGATCGCGTGGATTTTTTTTTTGTAAAAGAACTGTTACTATTTTTTTTTATAGATTTTCCTAAGTACCAAATAGTGTTGAGGAACTGTATTTATCAGCATTTGTTCTTTTCACCCTATAATTTTCACGTTTCTCGCGTTGTTCTAGTGTTGTTTAGTTACACTAATCGAACCAGTTTCCCTCCGTTGGTATTATCGTGGCCTGCACCGCGTTACAACTGCTCTCCTATAACGAGTACTACTTCATTGACGTCACTGCAATACAGTCAGTGTCGTTGACATACACCAACCGCGCCGGTTTCCTCCCGCAAGCGTTTACTGCGTTACAACTGCTCTCCTGTACAGTACACTACTTCATTAAGTTCACTCTATAATTGTACACGTTTCCTGCGCCAGTCTTGTTGACATACACCAATCCCACCGGTTTCCTCCCGCTGGTATTGTCGTGGCCAGCACCGCGTTACAACTGCTCTCCTACGAGTATAACGAGTACTACTTCATTGACGTCACTGCAATACTGATTACAATAGTACAGGTTTTTCGCTAGTGTTGTTGACGTACATTAACCGCGCCGGTTTCCCCCCGCTGGTGTTTACTGCGTTACAACTGCTCTCCTATACAGTGCAATACTTCATTAACTTCACTCTATAATTGTACACGTTTCCTGTGCCAGTCTTGTTGACATACACCAATCGCGCCGGTTTCCTCCCGCTGGTATTATCGTGGCCTGCACCGCGTTACAGCTGCTCTCCTATAACGAATACTACTTCATTGGCGTCACTGCAATACTGATTACAATAGTATAGGTTTTTCGCTAGTGTTGTTGACATACACCAACCGCGCCGGTTTCCCCCCGCTGGTGTTTACTGCGTTACAACTGCTCTCCTATACAGTGCAATACTTCATTAACTTCACTCTATAATTGTACACGTTTCCTGTGCCAGTCTTGTTGACATACACCAATCGCGCCGGTTTCCTCCCGCTGGTATTATCGTGGCCTGCACCGCGTTACAGCTGCTCTCCTATAACGAATACTACTTCATTGGCGTCACTGCAATACTGATTACAATAGTACAGGTTTTTCGCTAGTGTTGTTGACATACACCAACCGCGCCGGTTTCCTCCCGCTGGTGTTTACTGCGTTACAACTGCTCTCCTGTACAATGCACTACTTCATGAACTTCACTCTATAATTGTACACGTTTCCTGTGCCAGTCTTGTTGACATACCCCAATCACGCCGGTTTCCTCCCGCTGGTGTTGACGGCGGTCAACAGCGCTGACGATAGGCTGGCCTATGCTGCGTTGCAATATAACTGCTCTACAATAATGCGCGCTTTTTCATATACTACCTTATAATTGTGCACGTTTCTCGTTAGTGTTGTTGACATACACCAATCGCGCTGGTTTCCTCCCGTTGGTGTTGACGGCAGCTAATAGTCGAGACGATAGGGTGGCCTGTGCTGCGTTACAATATAACTGCTCTACAATAAAGTGCGCTACTTCATTAACTTCACTCTATAATTGTACACGTTTCTCGCGCCAGTATTGTTGGCATACACCAATCGCGCTGGTTTCCTCCCGCTGGTGTTGACGGCGGCTAATAGCGCAGAAGATAGAGCGGGCTGTGCTGCATTATAATACAACTGCTCTCCAATAAAGTGCGCTACTTCATTAACTTCACTCTATAATTGTACACGTTTCCTGTGCCAGTCTCGTTGACATACACCCATCGCGCCGGTTTGGTCCCGCTGGTGTTGACGGCGGCTAGCAGCGCAGACGATAGGGTGGGCTGTGCTGCGTTACAATACAACTGCTCTTTAATAAAGTGCGCTACTTAATTGACTTCACCTTATAATTGTGGACGTTTTGCGCTAGTGTTGTTGACATACACCAATCGCGCTGGTTTCCTCCCGCTGGTGTTGACGGCGGCCAACAGCACAGACGACAGGGTAGCCTGTGCTGCATTACAATTGCTCTCCTATGTAGTGCATTACTTCACTAACAACAAATATTTGGTAAGTTGTTTGTGATTGATATTTATTATTCAACAAAAAGTATTTAGTAAGTCTCTTAACATTGTTGATTCGGTGTATAGTAGGTTTTGTTCTTGGGCATTTATACGTTAAGCCGTCCCTGAAAAGTTGTCCTGATGGTGAAGACCGCATGATATTTCGTTCGGTGGGTTTTGAGACCGTTGCAAACTTACATTGTCCACATATTGACAAAAGCTGTCGAGGACTATGTTTCATTAGAATTTTGATCCGACAAACGCATAGCCTCGCATATAGAAGTCTAATTTTATTTGCAGTTTCGCTGCTATGCAATTAGAAACTTTAATAAAAATTCAATGATTTATCATACTTTGGTTATAATCAATTGCTATCCCAAAGAAAATACAACATCAAGTTACATAAATCTAACTTCAAACTTTTTTTTTTATTTACAACAATAATATATACAGGAACAATGAACCTAAAATTAAAAAACCTTAAAAAATATAATAATAAAAATATATTATTACAATGAGTCAGTCCCTTTAGGCAAGGTTCCGAAGATACTGGCAGCGTTCCCCCTTTGAATAGCTAAACTAATTCTTTATCCGAGGTAGCTGCCAGCTCTTCGGTCTCCAGTTATTAATAAATTTACTTTTCTGAGAGCGGCCGAAAGTCCTGATTTTTAGACCATTGATAGTGATTCTGGATGATGTTTGATTTATCTATTACAATTATTTAGTCCCCCTTTGAATAGCTAAACTAATTCTTTATCCGAGGTAGCTGCCAGCTCTTCGGTCTCCAGTTATTAATAAATTAACTTTTCTGAGAGCGGCCGAAAGTCCTGATTTTTAGACCATTGATAGTGATTCTGGGTGATGTTTGATTTATCTATAACAATTATTTAGTTGATTCAAGCTGTAAAACAAAACATTTCCAGCCGAAATCAGTACTACAAATAGACACACAGTCAATAATAAAATCCTTGCACGGAGACAGCACCAACGAACGAGGGGCTTGTTTAATGCAACTAGTGTATACGGTGCTCAACTCAGGCGTGCATACACCGCTCGCTCTCACCTTAGAAGTGGAGATGACACCGCCAAGAGAGAAGCAATGTAACGCGCTCAGAGCGTTGATGTTTAGGATACAACTCATGCTGTGTTGCAGGGTAAGTGTTCATCCTTATCAATCTATTAATGTCTCCATTGCTGGAGCAATGGTCTTCCCTATGGATGGGATAGGGAGATTGGGCCGTAACCGCCAGACGGGCGCATTGTGCGGTTGAATAGGTGCTAAAGAAATGAATGAATTTTTATGCTCGAGTTAATATAAGTGTTGCAGCAATTCAATTATATAAAATCATAAGCTCGTCATGTATGAGTACGACCCTCACTTGGCCTTTTATCTTTCTTAAGCTATCGTCATCTTTGATACTCTGCTACTTCGTAAGAGATACGGTATATGTAGCTATGAACATAAGGAGTTGAAACAAATGAACATATATGGACAATGACGTATAATATATGGACAAGATATACGCCAACATTATTGCATTTTAAAATGGCACAAGTAGTCCCCGCCCCAACTTCCCTTGGCAACAGCCGCCAATAGAGCGCACTAAAGGTATAATTCCGCAATGGGCTGCAGACGACAACCGCAGGCGACACTGCTGCTAGCGCCTGCGGTCGCGGCAACTTCTATTCCGAGCGCGGCGACATGCTGCGGCTGCACAATGCATATAACCATGCCTCAGTCACTCCAATAGCTTCGATAACCGAGAGTATAGTGTTGTCTCTTTATGTCTAGCAATATTTTCCAACACTACTTTTTTTCAACAGATTTCAATATTCATGACAACGAAAGGAAATTAATTAAATAAAAATTAAATCAAAAAACGTACGAGTGAAATGTTACACCATTAGCTTTATTTGTCAATACAAATATGGATATAATAGAGTTGGAATTTTAAGAGCACTTTCGGAAGGCACATGACGGTATTGTAATACACTTTTCTTGCAAAAAAATGGGAATTGGAAAAAAAATGGAAAAATATGGGAGCTAACTATGGTAAGGACATATCTAGCGATTCAAATCTTTGGTGTGACCTCTCTGCGGTTGGCGACACCACTGGAACTGCAGTCTGCGGTCGCTGCACGCTGCAGCCGCTGGCTACGCGCCGCGGCTGCAGACCGCAATGTCGCCGCGTTCGGAATCAATTTCATAGAGATTCATAGAAACTAGCGACATACGCTGTCGTCTGCAGTCTGCAGCTGTGGCCTGTGGTTTGCAGTTCAGTTCGGACTTGTACCTTAAAGTAGTCACTTTCACTCTCATGCATAAAGCAGATTACATCTCGCTCTTTAGCCTCCACGTGTCAACGGTGTCAGCAACTGTCAAAACAAGTAATCACTAAATAATTTTACATTAATTACTTTAAAACTGTACGTTTACAAATGAAATGACACGTTTTTTGTGTCTCTAATACTTCCTGTGTATTTTGTGTACTATCTAAATACATAAGGCTTTATGTCTGGAAAAAAGTAAAATATTTGCACGTTGCGCGTTGTAGCGAAGTGTAGCCGTGGCGAGAGAGCGTTCCCGACTGAATGCAAGTCGGACAAAAACCTGACTTTCGTATTGCCAAATTAGAAGAGTGTATCACTTATCTCTACTGTAAAGAGAAACTGGAAAACTCCCATAGATAAACTCCCTCTGAAAAGTATAAAAAACTACAATAAAAACCGCTATTATCAACCGCTGTTATGTGTTATCGTACCTACTATAGAATCTACCCTTCAGTACGGAATTATACTCAGGGGCAATAGTACAGATAAGAATAGAGTCTTTGGTTGCTTTCCAATTACAGCATTATAGCGCATTATGCGGCATAATGCTTAACGTTGAGTGTTCCAACTACAGCAACGCTTCGCACAATTGAGCACTCTCAAAAGTGATGCTTTCGTGTGATGCGTGCAATCGTACCAACTTAGAGACAGAAAATTAACAAGTGTTTTTTCTTTAAGTTGGCATTGATCGAAATGTTTTATTTATATGTTATCGTTAGTAATATTATTTATTGTTGAAAAATTATTAAAGCTTTCGTTTCATTAAATAGTTTTTCTTAAATAATCAAAGTTCATTCAAACTGTTAAAAAATAAATATAAGTATGGATGAAGGTACAAACATTGACTTTTTTTTTCAACACTGAACTTAGCGCACTCTGCTGGTGCATTTGAAAACTAATTCACGTTCCAATTAAGCATCAGCATAATTCAGCATTGTGCGGCACTGAGTCGCATTATGCTCTGTAATTGGAAAGCAACCTTTATTGCACAAAAGGAGTGCATTAGGGCACTATATGTAATCCCGCCTGACCAATCATGCAGACCATTATGAAGTAATCTTGGATTGTTCCTTTTATTATTGTTTATGAATTAGCTGTATTTGTCCACGGGCACAAGCAGTTGTTCAAGAGTGATAATAATCAATGCGATCCCAAAGTGACAAATATAGGAAAAGTTGATATTGTGTAGAGATCTATAATAAAATACCATCCCACATCAAAATGTTAAATGTGATCGTGTTTAAAAGTAAAGTATATAAATGGCTAGCTAAATGGAAACAATTTCTACGATCTAAAAAGTTTTTTCAATTACCAAAATTAATGACATGTTTTAACTTATCCTATAATAATTATTTACTTATACTATAATAAAGAAAATATAACTAGAAAAAATTCTAGAAAGAATTTCGACGCGGTCCGTGAGGGCCGCGGTAGCATAATTGGTCAGTGCATTCGCCCGGATTGCGAAGGGTGCGGGTTCGAGTCCCGTCTGCTGCCTGGTCCGCGTGGAATTTTTTCTAGTTATATTTTCTTTAGATTTAAACATCAAGCAGTTACATGCTTTAAAAATAATAAAAATTATAATTATACTATAATATTTTTTTTATCTGACATTTAGATACCTTAGACTATATTTTATATGTTGACATTCATAATACTGTAGAAAAATGTTATAGGTAATTAATTCTTTTTTTTTTCAAATTTGTCACATAGGAGTATGTATTGGCATGCTATTTTTAATTCTTTTTTTTTTAAATGGCAAAACACGTGCTCAATCCACTTTATGCGATACCTGTATACCGTGTTTTTAGCAAATAAAGATTAAAATTATGATGATAACACATCGCAGTATACGCAGGGAAGTATGGCATAGCATAGTGGATTTCTCGCGTGAATTCAAGCAGTCGTCTGGGTGCGCGTCATAGTTTCACCTTTCAGAAGATCACAGTGAAATAACAATACCTTTTGGTGGTTTCCAAGGCTCCCCGGAGCAGGGGATGTGATTAGGGCAGACAACGCGTGCACGATAGGTACTTTTAGCTTTTCGACATTCACAAGTGCTTAGACTGAATAAACGTTATTGAATTTTGAATTTTCTGTACTTTATCGCAAGCGTCTATAAGGCTACGCCTGGCTGCTAAAAGACAAAAATATAGATAAAAAAGAACAGAAAACATACCGCTTTATTACAAAATAAAACTAGACTTAAACTAACGCTGTCACTTTTTGGCTAAAGTTGGTTAAAAAGAAGACAGAGACAATATTAGGTTTAATCCAAGACTAACTTTAGTCCGAGTTTTGAAATACGGCGGTTACTGTTTCCTGATCTAGGACTGCTTTAATGACTCGAGGTCTTAATTTGTATCCCTCAGGAATCCGAAACGCAGTCTCTAGCAGGTTGGAAAACCCTTTCATCAGTGTTCAAATACGCTATTGTTTCCAAAAACGACACAAAACTAATTGTCACCCTAACATCTCAACCATGGTCTCATACGCTGATCAATTTTCAACTAACTCAAGCAATTACACAAGAATTTCTTACCTTCACACAAAATTGGCTGACTTTGTTGAAAATAACTATGGAAAAGGATTATAAAGACAAGAAAAGGTATCTCAGTAAGGAAAGTCTGATTGTTAAAACAATGCTGTCTTTAAAGAAGAGTATAGTAATAATTGAAGACGATGATATGGCAGAAGTTAAGCAGAAGATTTTAACTATTGTTAATGAAATTTTAGACATAATTTGACAGTAAGGACAACAATGTTTAAGATTGTTTTTGTTATAAATTATTGCAATTTTTTTTTGTTATATGAATAAGAATAGAATCTCATTGATTTATTTCATAAATATTAAGCTGAGTACTTAATGAGAAGAAAAAATCTATTGATTGATTTAAGTTTTATCACGAGACGGCATATTTGTTCTGATCGTTACATGATTTTAATTTTTATATAAATTAAACCTGTCCTCATTAGATTTATGATTAAATTTGCAGTGCATATTTTATTTGAATCATTTACGCAGTAATTTGCCCCGTTGATTTTACCAACTAAAAATAATTTTATCACGGAAAATGAAATAAAACAAATTTCATAAATAATTTTGTCCAACCTACGATTACAAAATCTTACCAGTTTAACAATATTGATATTAAATCGCAGAATTGTTATACGTCAAAAAGATTACATGCATACACAAAATATTAAATGACTTTCTATTTTATCGGTTGCCCAAAAATATACAATCACTTTCCCTGCTGCACTTTCCAAAGGACGAGTGAAATTATATCGATGGGAGTTACGTGCGCATGCGACGAATTCAAATGGTAATGAAAGCCTACAATAGATATTATAATTTATTTATTGATGCAATACCATGCTAACTGATTGATATGTGAATCATGCGTTGGAAAAAATGTTACGTTTGTCATATCAAACATATTGTAATTGAATCACTATGTGTTATAATTCGTCATGTTTTTTTCGAATTCATTATACCATATTTTACCTTCCCGGGCTCCCGTATTTTACCTTTGGTTTGGAACAAATGAAATAAAAAGGTAATTAGTTACTTATAATTCTATATATTAAATTGAAAAATAAAGAATAACCAGTGAAAGAAAGTTTGATAAAATTGGTGAAGATAAAAGGGAACCTCGGATCGGTGGAAAGATATTTAGTCGCAAATATAACGCTTGAAGGATTGGAATAGGGGACGACAGTTTATTTGGGAAATCGGTTATACAAAACAAAACCGCGAGAAACTGTAAGTTACTTATACTTTAATACCTACACTGTTACACACTTTGATACCTACACTGTTATGTTCCATATATATACATTTAGTCATTAGCCCGTATTCGGGTGCAAGAAAGACATTACTCGAATTCAGGCTCCCAAAGCAATATTTACACTGGAATACGGGCTGGAAGAAGATGTCGGATAAATAAAAGGAAATCTACCCGAATATGGACTTACTCGACTCCGTTATCCGACACTTAGTCGTTTACCCGAATTCCATTGGCACTCGCATTTGGGCTAACAACCAAGTGTAATCGCGCCATGACTCACATAAATTCTATAGTGCATCACATTGCTTTTTTAATATAGTTTTTTTTACTATCGCTGTTGTTCGATGCTATAAGTGCAAGTGCAATTGTACTAACATAGTTTTAAGCATCCATTGTTACTAACACTATATGGACTCTGGTTAGAAATAAACATATTTTATTTTATTTATTTATTTTATAAGATTTTTATTATATTTATAGCTTGAATGAGTCTATATTCTTCTTTAATTGAGTAAGGGGCACCATGCATCCCCGAGCGCGGCAACCGTGGCTCCCCCACGGTGGGCTTGGATATGAAGACAGTAGAAGACTATACAGAGACAGGATGAAGCAAGGAATTTAAATGTTCTAGTAGATAATTCTAGATCTAGGTTCTTAATCTTTCTGACGTGAGTGCAAACGTACTTATCTGATAGAAATAAATAATATTTCTTATGTGCTGTATGAAATTACTAGCACTCTTGTTTCCGGAAGCGTTCCGAGTCATTGACGTGTGCTGGTTAGTGCCCATAACGTAGTGCAGTTACCTGCCTTCAGCCATAGGGCTGTCTCCTAATGAATTCTATAAGTGCAATAACAATTAAAAAATGTGTGTTGTTAAAATAACGATTTCTTCTGTTTCATATAAAATTCAGACGATTTATCAAAACAACAGATTACAGTTTTATAACGAAATAAACGTTATTATTATTATGTTAGGTCATAATATCTTAGTATAAATAACGAATGGAAGTAATAACATTCCTATGTATATACATATTTTTGAAGTTATACTTCTTTAGGCGCGTTATGAAAAAATGATGAGAGTGAAATTTTAAGATGCGCGCGCATCACTGTAACACAAAATTTAAAGCGACCAACTTCATGCGTTACTTTTGTGTTTACCGCCCATTAAGAAAATCTACCAACAAAATAGAAATAGAATCTCTATTTAGTGGGTGCTAGAGACTGCATTGTGAAGGCCTATCAAAAGTATTTATTAATCTGGAACAACGGAACCAAAGCACGATTCAGGAGACTACAGCGCCATCTCTTGACCATTGGTGTAGTAGAACCAAAAACCACATCTTTATTTTTTGTAATAAAGTAACAGTTATAGGTATTCATATTTATAATATCAAAAGTATTTATTAATCTGGAACAACGGAACCAAAGCGCGATTCAGGAGACTACAGCGCCATCTCTTGACCATTGGTATAGTAGAACCAAAAACCACATCTTTATTTTTTGTAATAAAGTAACACTTATAGTTATTCATATTTATAATATTTATCCACATGTTTCTAGTTTGTATATTCGGACTACGTGTTTGAGTTTCATACAAGTGCAAATCACATATGTTCTAATAAATTATATTCAGTAGCGATTTTAATTGAATATTTTGATTATTTATTTATTTTTTCAAAAATTAAAACTGAACTTTATTGACTGTGTCCTTTTCCAGACTTTTTTTTAATTTATTGTAATTAATTATTTGCATGCAATTAAAAACTAATTTTAAACGATGCCAAAGAAGGATAACTTCTCACGCGCCTACATAAGTACACGCACCCATTTTTTTTTTAAACACACACCAATTAGGCTAGTTCCAAAGAAAGCACTATAAGGCTTGTGTTATGAGATACTAGGGTAACGGATAGACTACATATACTGTACATATATAAGTACATTTTTATAGAAATACATATTAAACATCCATGACTGGAGTACAAATGCTCGTATTCATCACACAAAGACTCTCAAGTATTTATTTGAACTCAGGGATAAAAAATACATTTAATTATAGTCAACCTATCGAGTCTGTGCCTGAATTCAATCTCTAGAAAAATCGCTGTGAGACAAAAGGTTCTCATATTCCAAAATTTGAATAATTATGTTTATTTTTAATATTACTGCCACTACGGCTGGCAGTAAAATTAAAAACTACACAAGCAAAGAGGCCGCAACGTTACTGGCGTTACAGTACCGAAAAAAACATCGAATCAGCAAAATCGTACGTACGTAGGTTTTGTTAGTTTTACACATTATACATTTAAATACGTATACTCTTGAACCCTAATACAGGTAAGAAAAGGCGATGCTGGCTTTCTGCTACATTTGGTGGGCCAGTCTGGGGAAGAACAGAAAACAACAATAACTTTTAGTAGTGTTGTATTTATGTTGGTGATTTAGGTTCTCGGATTCCATGGGGTTGTGTTCAGGCTAGCAAGGTGAGGATAACTGAAACCAATAAACAATTTGCGGAATAATAAATAAAATTCTTAAACTTATTCCAAATAGTCTAGCCAAATGTACTTATTTATCACCCAAACAATTGCTCCACCAGGATTAAATCCCAGGACTTCGAGTAGGCGACAAGTTAAAAATATAATTCACACAGAGGTCGTGAAAATATTTAAATAAGAAACTACACAGAAAAAATGCGTCAGAATAAATTCTTGCGTTCAGGTATCAGCCCTAACAACCACTGTGACCGCAAATGCCTAATAGCCGCTTCTGTAGGGTCAAGCTTTAGGTACGTTGTCTGTCACGACACGAACCACGTTTGGGCGCCAATCGTTACACAACACTGTAATATAAAACGATTAATACAATGACAATAGTATTTCGTCATACTCGAGTACATAAACTAATACTGTTATGAAAAGTTTTCACGGTAAAGTGGCACTTGAATTAATGGCGTAGTTTTTCGACTTTCATTGCTAACAACCTTAATGGAACTTTTCTTGGAGTCTATATCTAATTTTAACTTAATGGGTGTTAGTTAAGTTCTAGTATCTGTTTTTTATATGCTTCTTTTTATATATGTTGTTACTTTATCTCTATTTTAATAATTTGTTACGTAAACGAATTTGTAGAGTAAATTTTTGTGCTATCTTCCATTAAAATCTGTTAACAATCTTCTCTTTCCCAACTGATTTCTTCATTTAACGCAAATGTTTACTAAAAACTAAAAAGTAGCAATTTTCGCTTGCTTTTTTTAACGTTTGAGACTCCCTAAGGTTTAGACCAAAGCTGGCTGGACATAGGTAGTTAGTTATCCACACTTCGATAGCATTATCTTTAAAAAAAAATGCTACCGAAGTAAAATTTATAAGCAGTTATATTAAGAACTTTTTTTAAACGAAACGATATTACTCAAAGAAACTTCAGCCTTTCTATTTCGTTTACGCACTTACATTTGTCAAATAAGAGAAAGTTTATTAATAAAAAACACAAGCATTAGCATATTGTTATCATAGACACATCACCCTTTCTACCCCTTTTAGATTTCGGCTGCCCCCCACATCGGCATATTTTGGCAACCCCCCTTTCTGCCAAGTTTCGGCGCGGGAGTCGGGGCGCACTGCAGTCGTCTTGCGATAGTTCAGTCACTGCTTGGTGGAAATCGCGCGCGCCTGTACTTATTGACTGAGTAACAAGTGAACATTGTGCTGTGACAGTGATGTGCGTTTGATTGTGTTTTTTTTGAGATATGAGGACTGTTTATTGTGCCAGAATGAAGGGTATGTAGCCTACTATAAAAAACGCTGTAGTTTAAAAAATAGTTGCGGTACTGAAAATATGGGTTATATTTTATATTAGTCTTATTAAGTGTAATAACATAGGTTTTCTTTCTGATCACCTGATGGAATTATAAAATAATAAAATAAACAATATACAGATTAATTAAGTAAAAAATATAAAACATTTTTCTAACAAATTGATCGATTGGTTTATATCTAGATGAAGGTGTATGGCATACCGGTATTATATTATGCTTAGTATGACAAGTGATCATCTTAAAATTATGCATTAATCTTTTATCTATATATATATTTGTATATCAAGGCATTTTCAGATAAATTTAAAAACTAATTTTCCACTAATTGTATATTTATCTTTGACTCTCACTTAAGTATAGCATTTTGCAGCTATGCTATACATAAAGTGCACCATTGGAAAAGTTACAGTTACATTATAACTAAGATAAGAACATTTTGTTCGGTCTCTTCTCCTCCATATATGGATCGTTCCAGAATCTGCACTAGTCCAACGAGCGAGGCAGTAAGTAGGTACCTACTCGTGTTAATATTCATTATGGAAATGATTAACTGCAATCTGAGCTGCGCTACGCTACGCTAGCAGATCTAGTGCAACATCAGAGATAAGGATGTTGCTATATAAGATAACTGTATTTATAGCCAAACAGTGGTGTTGATTCTGCTATAACTCTAACCCTAAACTTGAATTTGACAACAGTGTATCCTTGTCATTCTCTATACAG